GTCAGAGTCTTCTGTGCTAACCTCTTTTTTTCTAATCACAGTAATCAGCATTCAGCATGAATATTGCTGCTCCCTGTTTCACTTTTGTTTAATAATCATTTCCGCTGCAATTTTCTGTTATCATGATGTTCTTTTGCTGCTACCTTCGACTTTCAATAGATTCTTTATTTTTTTTTGTCATGGGCTGCAGCTGAGTCATGTTGTGCCAGTGGCCATCATCTCCCACCTTTCTTAGTATAATATTGGTAGGGAACGCATAGGCCCATAATCCTGAACTACAAGCTAAGTCATTCAACTTGGGCATGGGACATAAGTCCTGTACAAGCCTTTAAAAGTATTTATGATTGAATATTGCATTCATGATATTATGTGAGGGTTTTCCAATTTAAGTTTCTAGTTGGCTTTATTTATTTTGAATAATTTTTCACATTTTTTTGTTTCATCCTTTAACCAAAAAAAAGTTCACATGCAGGCAGAGTTTGACCCAATACGATGGCTTGATAGATCACTGATACGTCTATGCTCAAAATATGGAGATTACCAAAAGGAAAATCCCAACTCGTTTAGCCTATCACCACGGTTTTCAATATTTCCTCAATTTATTTTTCATCTAAGGAGATCTCAGTTTGTTCAGGTATTCAATTTTCTATTGTGGGATCTGAGATGATTGTAAAATCATGAAAGCAGCTTACTATATTATTGTATAATAGGTGTTCAACAACAGCCCTGATGAGACTGCATACTTTAGAATGATTTTAAATCGGGAAAATGTAGCCAACTCGGTAGTGATGATTCAGCCTTCACTGATTTCCTATTCCTTACAATCATCTCCTGAACCTGCTCTTCTCGACGTCGCTTCTGTAGCCGCAGACAGGATATTGCTACTAGACTCATATTTCACTGTTGTCATATTTCATGGTCAAAATATTGCTCAGTGGCGTAAGGCTGGATACCAAGATCTGCCTGATTACAAGGTCAATGTTTTCCTTGTTGGGTTACTTGAGTCTGTGATTGTGGTATATGAAATAACTAGATTTCACAATAAGTTTGTGTTATCTACTATTTGCCAGCTGTTTGATTGTTTCTTTCTTTGACTCGGCTTCTTCGTTCTTTCTTTTTTCTCAGGAATTTGCCCAGTTGTTGCAAGTTCCTAAAGATGATGCCAATGCTTTGATCAAAGAGAGGTTTCCAGTTCCACGCTTAGTTATCTGTGATCAGCATGGCTCTCAGGTATTTCTGATACTGAAAAGTCTTACAATAAATGGGATGAACTGTAATACTGTTAGGTTTGCATTTGTAAAAGTATTTGCTTTATATAGGATAACTATGCTAATTGTGGTCATAATGTGTGCTGAAGAGCAGTTTCTTATATTTCTAGTCTTCTCCCTTTATAAATGATAAATATGCTTTTAAGTCAGCAGCGCATTGACCCTTTGACCTCTAAGTTCTAAACTTCTGTACATTACTCCATTATTTTTTGGTCCCTCTTTCTGTTTTCAAAGGTCTGCAATTTTTTTCTTTTATGAATAAAGGCCAACAATTTTCGGGAAAAATCCCAAGTATCCTATCTGTGAAACAAACACAAAGGTCTTCTTCTGAACTACAGCAACTACCAGTACTTTGATGGGCTGATAATCAATTTATGCATACGTGCTCGTTATCTTGGAGTGCTCATTATCTTGGAGTGCTCATTTTGCACCTTGTTTAAGTAAAATTGACTTTTCTTTCTTAATGCTTGTCTAGGCTCGCTTTCTTCTGGCAAAGTTAAATCCTTCAGCTACATACAACTCTGGTGCCTCTATGGCTCCTGGTGGAGATCTCATTTTCACAGATGACGTCAGTTTTGAGGTGTTCTTAGATCATCTCCAAAGGCTAGCTGTTCAATAGAATAGAATAGAATAGGTCCCACAATTTTGTAAAATTTTATATGAGCTTGCTGTACTGTAATGTCTACTTTGATGTTTTGGCAGTGCGAGTCTGTTATTATTTTATGCTCTGCATATTTTTTATTGGTATTAATAATGTTTCGCTTTAAGCTGATCGGATATTACCATTATGAGCAAGTGAGCAACTTGTCAGTGAAATCTTCTAATGAAAGCCAATTGAGAATTTGCTGCAGTATTTCTATTTCATGGTTAGCTTTGCAATGTTGTCAGTGGAATTTGTATTGAATGCCTTAATTAAAAACCAGTGATCAGTGTCGGTTTTGTTTCGATGTTTCCAAACTTAACTTGTGTATCCTGTTGGGCGACGGTATGCATTGATGGCAGCTGTAGTATAAGTGGCTATTTAGTTTATGGTTGAAAATGCTCGTTTAAAATTGTCCTTGAGTGACCATATTGGCTACTTCTGACTGAAAGACTGAATGGATTTCTAAGGGCAGAAGACTGGTTTCCCAGTATAGCTTGTGATGTGAGGAGTCTTGAGGACTTGTAACTTTTGAAGAGAGTAAAGTATGACCTTCATGGGGATGCATGGTATGTTTAATTTAAAAGGACAGGATTGTTTGGAAAAGCTTGAGTACTTGGCTCTTTTTTAGAGACTTGTGACCAATGACTCAAAACTAGATGCAGTGATTCAATGTCTCCAAAAAAAAATAAAAAAAAATGCTGTGATTCAATATCTATTATGGATCCCTGAATCCCTGCCCGAAAAAAAATTCAATTATGAACTTGATGGTCTTTGGTTTGAAAATTAGGCTTTGTTTGGTTCATCTAATTTTGTTTGAATTTTTTTTTTTTTTAAGAAGATTGAATCATCAATAAAAAAATCATATGACATCTACAAGAGATTTAAATCTAATAAATGCATGACAAATTATATTATTTATATAAACTTATTTTAATCTAACCTTTACTTTATCTAAAATTAACTAAACTTATTTTTTTCTAAAATATGATAAAATAAGTTGACACTTATTTGTTATGTTGCCATAAAGATTAGTATGTATCTTTCAAAAAAAAAGTCATAACTCAATAAAATGTGGATTATTAAATAAAAAAAAAAAAAAACAGAAAACATAATGTGGTCTATTATTTGGTGAATGTGATTGAATTTGGATTAAAGAACATGTATACAGTACTTGTATTTGTGTAAACAGTTTATAAATTAAGTGTTGGCAAGGGTGATATTTATTTCAATTGATTGAAGTGTTGGAGAAAGTTTTTACAAGCCTACCGACCTATTTACTGGCTCGGACTTCTACTAAGCTGATGTCCTGAAGTATGGCTTTGATTAGACGACACAAACCCATACAGCTAAAAGTCGGTTAAGCAGCTGAGCACATATGCAGCGCAAACAAAAGGTTTAAATGGACAGAAAGGTACCATTTAGCTTGAAATGAAGTCACCGCAAGCATCTGTTAATTCAGATCCTTGTAGAGAAACTATATTCCGAATCTCATAATCACTAAGGGATCTAACAAAGACAAAATTCAGATCCTCACTCATCTGCAGATGAGGAACTCTGACATTTAGTATAACTGAGAATGAGCTTACCTGCTTATCTGGACCATATAGAACGGGCAGCCAGCAAATCCCATTTACCACTGTTTCACAACTGGATCCGCTACCTAACACCAATTGAAAATAGAGCAAGGGCAGGGCAGCTGGGGCGGCTGCCCTGGGCCCTTGATTCAATATAACCCATGAACCTGGTGGAGCCTTGCTTACAGGGATCCTATAACGAGCCTGGTTAACCCACAACTTCGTAACTTCTTTCACTGTCATATCTTCTTCATCCTCAGGTGAGTACCCTTCTCCTAGCACACCAATAGTACACTCTACCAAACACTCCAATCTGGTTTCGGATAGAGTTTGGTAATATTAACCATAAGTGGTATTATATGCTTTTATGCATTTTTGTGTATTATATGCTTTACACGGTGGTTATTATTTTTTATGCTATTTTAGGTCCAAGATGTGCGATGCACATTTTGTTTTTATTTTTTTAAATAAAATGTTTTATATATGTATATTGATAAATTGTGTAATTCCATTCATTTGTTTTAGTTGAATTTTTTTAATTATAAAGTACATTGTAAATTGAACTTGAGTTTATTACGAAATGAATCGTCTTTGCTATCTAATAATTTTGATAATTTATTTTTTGGTGTGATAAAATTGACTTTTTCGAATTATCCATCCCCTTCTCACTTTTTTTATTTATTTTTTTTATTTTTTTTTACTGCCATCCTAAAGTACAAAAATTAAAATAAAAAAACCTTCCAAAATTAAAACAAAAAAAACTGTCAATCCTATTTTTTAGAATAATAATACTGTACAATTACTTATCCACTTTTTTTAGTTAAATACTCACTAAAAAAAATAAAATACTCTTTGACTTCATCAATTACAATTTTTATATTTTTATATGTTTTTTACTAAATTATGGTGCTGCTAAAAGAGTTATAGCACTTACTTAAAACGCTATTAATGTTTCCTCTTTTAGTAGCGTTTAATATATAAGCACGGTTAAACCTCTTTTTAAGATTTAATAAAAATCCATATTTAAATTTTGGAGATTTATTTAAACAATACAATCTCATAAACTACGTTTAACTTTCAAACAACATCCTAAAATTTGACACTATTATACAAAGTCATTATGTATCCACTATGATATTTACATGAGAAGAACACGATGCGCCGGGTGAATTCTCACTTCATCAATTTGGTCTTGATCAATCACAACTATGAATTATTCTAGTCATGAAAGTACCTAAAAATTAAAAAAAAAAAAAAAAAGATTAGCCAAGTTTATATGTAGTAATGCATAATAGCATAATTAACAAAGACAATTGATCGAATCTACAAGTACATTATTGATTAGTCAATTTATTAGAAAAAAAAAAAAAACTAAAAGAAAAAGACAGGCCAAAAAAAAAAAAAGGAAAAAAAAAATAGAAAAAGTGTAAACTCTATATAAAGGGCTTTAAGACCATAAAAGTCTTATTAAGCCACTAAACCCTACTTCTTCTCAATTTTGAGGCTCTTTCGCTCATGACTTCCTCACCAAAATTTGTGTGCCTCTTTTTTCTTCTTACAATCTTAGTTTGCTCAATCCAAACCTATCCTAGAGATAGCCAATTCTTTAGCAAGGTTACTCGAAAGCGCGACGATGCCACCACCACCACAACCATCAACCCAAACACTAACAACAATTACTTCACCAACAACAAAGTAGATTATTTTGTAACATTAAACAAGCAAGAAAAGAAAGATGAACAACCCGTTTTCCTCCCTCAAACCACCGAAACCGGTTACGGCCTATACGGGCACGAAACCGGCCTAGATGCCCCTTCTACCACCACCACCCCAAATTCCTTGTACAACACGGATGAAAACAACAACCAAAAGTACGAGAATTTCAACAACTACTACAAGAACAACAATGAAAATCATGAGAAGAATTACACACCCGAGTTGAAAGGTTTGTCCGGTACTACCTACACCGAAAAGACTCCTATGTCATACAACAATTTTAACGATGAAGGTAAGTTCTATGAAATCAACAACAGCAACAACAAGGAATTATCTTTTCAGCGCGTTGGCAGTACTCGCATCAGCGATCATAATTTTGGGGGCTGTGTGGGCCATAATAAAATATTCCATGAAAATCCCAGCAGGTACAGAGCCACCTGAGGAGAACATCGAGTTGGTGTGTGGACCGTATGGTTTTAAAATTAAGTTTTGAACTTTATTTTATTTACTACTTATAATGTTTTGGAATTTTTTTTTTTTTTTTCGTGTGTTTATTTTTGTGAAGCAACCTTTTTTAAATATACAGAAAGGTTAGGCTTAGTATTTTGTAATTTCTTTTCTCTTTTTCAGAAGAAGCGTGTTGTAATCTGAAGAAAGATTGCCTAATATTATTATAGTTGGTTTAGTTTAATTTGTTTGCTGTGCTTTGTGTATTGTTCGACAGAAAACACTAACAAAAAAAATAAAGTTACTCTTGAACTCACTAGTACATACTATGGTAATGTACCCACATGCAAGTAAAGTCATTCTAACCCCCAAACCCACCTACTACATATTCTCAAAAATATAAAAATAAAATAAACCCCAAACGCATTATCATCTTCAATTTCGAAATTTTTTTCTCTCCTCTAAACAAAAATTTAGATGGTACATGGTTACCTTTTTACATTATAGTAAAACTGATTAATTTGATATAGTTATCTTTATAATCACATAGTAACCTTTATTATTACCAATTGGTTGTTTTATAGAGGTCATTGAAACTACACTTGGTAGGGAGAACCCCAGTGTTTAATCCTTTGTAACAATAATCGGGAGGGGACTAGAACCTAACCACCTAGAACTGATCCCTAAATCCAGATTAGCCTGAAGGGTGAATCAAATGAAACAAAAAAAAAATGTAACCTTAATCATTTACTTCTGGCAGAAGAAGAGCTTTGAAGATAGAGAAATTAAATGGTGCAAAAGGAGGGGAAAAAGGTGGAGGAGGGGAAAAAAGAGGAAAAAAGGGGAAGGATCAGAAAAAAGAGGAAAAATGGGGGAGGGGAAAAGAGGACAAAAGGGGAAGGAGGGAGTAGAAAACTAGGTTGTCTTATTTTGTTGCCTCCTCCAAACGCACTCAGCATAGTCAGCAAGTTCTGGTTCCACAAAAAGGTTTATTTAAGAATTTTTATACTGTAAAAAGATTGGTTAATAATTTTATTTACTTTTTTGTTTTATAAGCATTTGACCTCTTTTATAATAAGTTACGGTAATTTTATTTACTTTTTTTTTATATAAGCATTTGACCTCTTTTATAGTAAGTTACGGAATACGTTGTACAATTAATTTTTTTTTTTTTTTTTTTTTTTGCCGATATGTTACAACTTACAAATTTACAAGACTGATATATTTATAATTATAACATAAGTTGTTTATTATTAAGGATTATATTTTTTATGTAACTTTTTAAACACTAAAGATCAATCTACATTGTATCAACAAATTAATCGAATTTTTGAACTTTTAAACTAACAATTTTTGTTGTGTAATTATCTATACCAAGCTATCTAAAAAACCTTTCAATTTTTGGTGTATGGTTTAGAATTAGCTATTCGGTTTGGCTATGGAAGTGTGTGGATTGAGAGTGACTCCCTCGGTCTAATCCAACGAGTGAAACAGAGAAGGGAAGGTCTTAACTATATGTATATGTTGATTTCCCGTATCATTTCCTTGAGTTATTCCTTTTCGTTTTTTAGTTGTAGCCATATCAAAAGGGGAGGAAACTCTCTAGCACACTTAATTGCTAAACATAACCCTCCTGATCTTTCGGAGCTTGTAAGATTTGCACCATTTCCGGAAAGCAATTCCCGGCTTGCGGATATGGATATTAATGATTAATTGTTATAAAAGAGAATAATGCACTATGCACGTGGCTTCCTACTAAAGGTTAGTTGTACTCTAGTCAAAAAACCAACACCAAATTACAAAATCCTTGACTTATTTTCTACCTTTTGTTTTTATGTCATCATTTTCTCTCCTCATTCTTTCTGTTTCAAGCAATTCTTTTTGACAAGTCTTATGCTTTCTCATTGAAGTCTTGTGTAAAGTGGTCAGGTGAGTTTTCGTTAATTTTATTGTAAAACCGTTCGTTTAAGAGATAAGTTTAACTATTTTTATGGGGGTTAAGTATAATATTGGAGTCTAAATTTTTAATTTTTTTACCTTTTGGAACCTCTTAATTTTTTTTCACCTTTTGAGACCCATGATTAACAGTCCGGCCAACTAGAATTTAATCCACTGGAGCAAAACTTAGTTCCTTCAATTAATAAGTGATGCAAAAAATATAGGTCCTTTAATTAATAACATGTTAATTCCCAGAAATATAGGTCCCATATCTGATAAAACTAAGTCAATAAATGATGTTATTTTCTTTTTCATTTTTTTACTATTTTTTTTAATTTCTTTTTTTTTTCCAGAAAATGGGTGTTGTATTTTGAAGAAAGATTGACTAATATTATTAAGGTTAGGTTGAGTTTTTTTTTGTTTGCTGTGTTTTGTAGGGGTGTACAAAAACTGGACCGGACCTGAAACCGGACCTGAACCGACCTGATCCGGACCGGACCTGACCCGGACCTGTTGATTCAGGTCCGGTCCCGGTCCTTAAAAATCAAGGTTCCCGGTTCCGGTCCGGACCCGGTCTAAACCCGGGGTTTTCAGGTCCGGACCTGAAACCCGGAAAAATTGTTTTTTTTTTTAAAAAAAAAAAAAAAAAAAAAAAATTAAAATAATGCTGCTGCTTGACAGCTTGAGGCCTTGAGTGACGCTTGAATTCTCTTTCATTTCATTCTAACCCTAACAAACAGGCTGTCTCCCCCTCTCCCTCACGCAGACACGCAGTCACGCAAGTCTCAGCCGAGTCAGCCCAACGCGGCAACGCCCACCGCCGACACCTCCTGCCTTCCTCACTCTCTCAGGCGAAGCCCAGGCGCCCACCGACCACCGCATGAGACAGCTACTGCGCGATTTTCCATTTCTCCGGTAAGTTATTTTTTTTTAATGTAAATCTAAATTATCTAATTATGTTTGGGTATTTTGTATTCGAAATAATGAATTAAGTGTTAGAATTTATATGTTTATTCATGTTTCAATTGCTTATAATGATTATTTGATGTTTGCATGTTGAATTTCTTTTTTTTACTTCAATGTTTTCGAATTTATGTTTTTTCTTTTTTGGTTTATTTTCGAATTTCTTTCGAATTTATGTTTTTTTTTTTGGTTTTTTTTAGTTTAAAGTTTAGGGTTTTAGGGTTTAATGTTTAGAATTGATAACAAGTATGGTTTATCTTCGAATTTATTTATTTTTATGTTTTGGTAATGGGATTGTAGCAGAGGACAATTAGTTTTTCATCATGATTGCATTGTTTATTTTTGTCAAGTACCTGAATTTCTTAGACTCCTTTTGGTTGGACTTTGAAATTAGAGAAAATGCAATTATTTTGATTTCAAAATTAGAAATTGAGAGAAAGGTAGAAATTAGCTTGGTTGATATATGATAAGTTGGAATGTGCCTCTGAAATTGACATAAACTTCAGCAAGTAACGTGTAACACAAAAGAGAAAAATAAAAAGGAAGAGAACAAACAATGAGATTATGAGAGCAATGAAATTTTCTGACTGCGACTAGCTAGAATTACCATTGGAACTGCTGGATAGAGTCTGAGAGTTTCTGTCAATGCAGCATGTAAATACTGCATTCTTTCAAGTGATTCTTCTGTCAAACTAGCAGCAAGTTCTGAAAATTTTCCAACTCCTTCCATTTTCGTAATTTTCCTTACTTCTTCAGCAACCTTTTCCTGTATATTCTGGTGTTTACAAAGCATGTAAACAAACCATGAAAGTGTAACTGCTGTTGTGTCTTTACCCGCAATTACAAAGCTCAAGATTATATCTCTCAGATACTTCAAATCAGTGTCGCTCTGCTCCAGGAACCTTGACAAGATATCATCCTTTTTCATCTGCATTTCCTACAAATTCACACAGAAAGAATGCATTAATCTCCTCAGTAAACCGATATGATTACAGACTTCTAAGTTATGATTCACTTACTGAGACATTGCTTTGTGAACTTTTCATTAGTTCCACTTTGTTACTGATTAATTTGTAAACAAAATCATCAACAGTTTTGACACTTCTCTTAAGTTTAGCCTCTGCGCCAATGTTGAGAAATTTCTTGATAGGCCAAAAGATGTCTACATATCGTAACATGGTTGAAGCACTAGCATCATCAAAAGCCTGGCCAAATTTCTTCCCTTCTTCATTTGAGCCACACATACTGTCTAGATCAACTCCAAATGCAACTTTGAAAATAGAATCTAACGTTGACTTCATAAACAAGTCCTATAGAAAGCCATTTCAAGTTAGTTCGTTACTCCAAAGTCTCCAAAAGTACATAGCTCATCTTATCAGTAAAACACTTTTGTCCAATACAACCAGTAAAACACCATCTTACCTGAATATCCATAATTTGGGTGGAGTGTCACGGAAGGCGGCTAGGGGTGGGGCTGCCAATGAAGCTGGTTGTGTACTTGTGTTGTGTTGTGTGGGCAGTGGTGGATCTGGGTATTGACATAAATTTCAGAAAGTTGGTTGTGTTGTGTTGTGTTGTGTTGTGTGGGCAATGCCTCTCTCATTTTTTTCTTAACATAAATTTCAGAAAGTTGAAAGTATTTCTAATGTGTATTGATATTTCTAATGTGTATATATGGACACTTTTTAAGCTAACTTATACTTTAAAATTTGTGTTTATTCCTGCTAGGCTGCTAAAAGTATGGACTCAGATTATTAAGATTAAATAAGTTGGCTAACCTGTGTGTAGTTCAGGGGTTCTTATTTTTGTTTTTATTCTTGCAGGGAGTGAAGGAAGTCAAGGAACCACGGATTCTTATTCTTGCAATGTAAGTTGCTCTTAAATTTTTTTTATAAAATGGTATGTGTATATAATTGTTACTTTAAAATTACTTATATTGTATATAATTATATTGTAGATGGAGAGCTCTCAATCCAAACGGTCTGCTTCTTTTTCTGAACAAACGTCACAGCCACTTTCTGAAAAGGATATGGAAGAATTGCAATCTACTTTGCCTCCTGATAAGAAGCTAAAAGCGGGGCGGGAATATATATGGAACAGAAAAAGTAAGAGGAAAGCTGAGTATTGGAAATATTACTTAGAGTACGTCGAGAATGGAAAACTACGAGCTGAATGTAAGTTCTGTCCTAAAACTTTTGCTGCTGATGGTAATCTTAATGGTTCAAAAAATGTTAAAAACCATGCAGAATCATGTCTCGGTAATCCTATTAATATAGAAAAAGAAAAGGGCAAAGAAAAGCAAACTAAATTGTATTTTGATCAAGAACATGAGAGTAGTGAATTAAAGTGTGGGAGTAGGATTATTAACTTGAATGATGTTAGAGAGGCATTGATTCACATGATTATTGTTGATGAGTTACCATTTAAGCATGTGGAAAAATCCGGTTTTAGGCACTTTGTGCAAGTTGCATGTCCACAATTTCACATTCCATCTCGTGTTACCATTGCTCGTGATTGTTTAAAGTTGTATTATAGTGAAAAAGAGAAATTGAGAGAAATGTTTAAGACATGTCAAAGAATTTCTGTGACCACTGATACTTGGACTTCAATACAAAGAATTAATTATATGTGTCTTACAGCTCATTTCATTGATAATGACTGGAAATTGAATAAAAAGATCATAAATTTTTGTCCAATTTCTAGTCATAAAGGAGAGGCTATTGGAAAAGCAGTTGAGGCATGTTTAGAGTATTGGGGTATTGATGATAAACTTTTTACTGTCACTGTTGATAATGCTTCTTCAAATGATGTTGCTTGTGCACACTTGAGTAGAATGGTTAGAAGAACAGGATGTATAAATGATGGAAAAAAATCTCCATGTTAGATGCATTGCTCATATCATTAATTTAATTGTGTGGGATGGTATTAGAGAACATGGTGTGTGCATTGATAGAGTTAGAAATGCTGTGAAATATGTTAAGAATTCCCCTGCAAGAATACTTAGATTCAAAGATCTTGTGCAAAAAGCAAACATAGATTCAAAATCTTCTTTATCCTTTGATGTCCCCACTCGTTGGAACTCCACATACATAATGTTGGAAACGGCTTTGAAGTTTCGACGTGTTTTTAGTGGGTTATCTCTTCCTGATGGAGAGGATTTGAATGACAATGAAAGGCCTCCCGAACCCGAAGATTGGGAAAAAGTGGAGAGGTTGGTTTTGTTTCTAGGGGGGTTTTATCTGTTAACTAAACGAATTTCTGGTTCCCATTATGTGACAGCTAATAAAGGTTTAGGAGAAATTGCTTCTATGTATGATATGTTGAATAATTGGGAACAAAGTGAGGACTTGAATTTTCAAGCCATGGCCATTGCAATGAAAAAAAAGTTTGATAAGTATTGGGGGGATGTGGATAAGATGAATAAGTTCATTTATGTTGCTCTTCTTCTCGACCCTCACTCTAAGATGGTCATTGTTGAATTGACACTAACGGATATGCATGGACCGGAAAAGGGTACAAAACTTGCTAATGATGTGAAGGAGTTCGCTTACTCTTTATTTGAGGAATATAGAAAAATGTATGCTACTTCTAATATTCCAGATTGTGGAGATAATATGTCAATGGATATTGATAATAGTAAAGGAGTGGGTTCCGATTATGTGAGGAAACTAAAAGAAAGAGCAAAACGATTGAAGGGGACAAGTGGGTATGCGATAAGTGAGTTGGATAGGTACTTAAATGATCAATTAGGGCCGGAGGAGGAAGAACAAGATGCATTGACATGGTGGGGTAAGAATGGTCAGCGTTATGTGATTCTTAATCGCATGGCACGTGACATACTAGCCATCCCATTGTCGACCGTTGCATCGGAATCTGCTTTTAGTACGGGAGGTCGTACTCTAGATCCATTTCGGAGTTCTTTAACTCCTAAGGTAATGCATCGTTATCTTTTTATTTTATAAAATCAAGTTTGTTTATATCTTAATATGACTTTGTTTATACATATTTGTGTAATATTTTTGTATTGAAGATGGTTCAAGCGTTACTTTGCACACAAGATTGGCTTAGAGCTAAGGAAGTGCCAATTGTTGATGTGGAAGAAAATTTGAAAGAGTTAGAGGAAATAGAGAAAGGTAGTAATAATTTTATGTATTTGAAATTTTGTTACACCAAATTTATTATTTCATTGTTATCAATCATTAATATATTCTATATTGTATTTTATTTAGAGGTGCAACGTGGTGAATCTAACGATGTAGACGATGAAGTTGTTTTCGTGGACTCATTAGTGTGAATCACGCGATCAAAGGGAAAACAACTCGTTGGAGAATTTATGTATTCCTAGTACTTGAGAGTTGAGAGTTGAGACTTAAGAGAATTTATGTAATTTTATGAGTTTTCGTGGACTTATTTGTATTTTCGGTGGACTCATTTGTATTTTTGGTGTTTGAGAATCGGGACTTTATAGACTTTATGTAGTTTTGTAATTGATAATTTTGGTTTGTATGTAATTATTAAATTATGCAACAGGTCTAAAAATCACAAAACAGGTCCATATGCAGGTCCATATGCAGGTCCAACAGGTTTTGTATTAAAAAAAAAAAAAAAACGAAAAAGACACAAAACAGGTCCATTCAGGTCCAAACCCGGACCGGACCTGATTTTTCAGGTCTGGCCCGGAACCGGACCTGTTAATTCAGGTCCGGTCCCCGGTCCTCATAATTACCCAATTCAGGTCCCCGGTCCAAACAGGTCCGGTCCAGGTCCGGTCCGGTTTTGGACCGGTGTACACCCCTAGTGTTTTGTGTAGTTCGAGAGAAAACACTAACAAAAAAATAAAGTTACTCTTGAACTCACTACTATAGTAGTCAAGGGAGGAACTATGTGTATGCACACTAGTGAACGTGCATTACCAGCCAAAAAAAAAATTGAAGTTCAGTTAAAAAAAAAAAACGATCAAAGACCTGTTATTATAGATTACAAGTCTCTTTGATATTGCTGTAAACGCCTAATTGCTCTAATCGCGAGTGGAATAGTAGTATCAAAGAGACCGGTTATCTAGAATAACAGGTCTCTTTGATCGAATAATTTCTCTTAAGATATCTCTTTTAATTTTTTTTCCTTCTATTTGTATCTTTATATGTGTACAACCAATAATTTAAATTTTTTTCACCAAATCTTCTCAATCACTTTACAAAATAAATAAATAAATAAATAAATTTAAAAAAAAAACAATCAAAGAGACCTGTTATTATAGATTACAGGTCTCTTTGATACTGATACACTCTAAACTTTGAATTGCTTTAAATCTCACAGTGGAATAGTCTCTTTGATTGAATAATTTCTAAGGTTTTTTTTTTTTTTTTTTTTCGCTTCTATTTGTATCTTTATGTGTGTGCCACCAATTTTTAAATTTTTTCCCCAAACCTTCTCAATTAAGTTACAAAATATATATATTATAAAGTTAATGTAATAGTTTTATAGTACCATTTGTTTATAATATGTTATTTGTAATACTTTCGGCTTGTAAGATGTAATTTTTACTTATTATTTGGTTGTAGAATGGATTTTTGTGTTCTATTTTTGGATTGAAATCGATTTAATTGTAATATTATTTTTTTATATAATATTGGATTGAAATAAATTATGAACTAGACTCGAAAAAAAAAAAAAAATATTTTCACATGTAATTAATAATTGATGGTGACCTAACCATTTTGGAAATCCTGGATCCGTCACTAATAGTAGTGTATCTTTTTTAAAATAAAAACATTGGTTATTACTTTTATTTACCTTTTTTAATGAGCATTTAACCTCTTTTTTAATATGTTACGGAAAGGGTAGTATTTTTTTTTTTTTTCCAATATGTTACAAGATTGATAATATTAATTATAACATAAGTTGTTTATTAGGGACTAAATTTTTTATGGGACTTTTTAAACACTAAAGATCAATTTACACTATATCAACAAATTGATAGAATTTTTAAACTTTTAAACTAACAATTTTTGTTGTGTTATTATCTATACTATAGGACATATTTGGCAAAACTAGCGGTAGTGGGTAGCTTTTAGCTAGCGTATAGCTATTAAAGTAACGAGTAGCTGTCAATTAGTAGTGGGGATTAATTTTACAATTTTTTCTTAATCACCTAAGTATCCTATCTGCGAAACAAACACAAAACAAAGGTCATCTTCTGAACTACAGCAACTACCAGTACTTTGATGGGCTGATAATCAATTTATGCATTCGTGCTCGTTATTTTGGAGTGCTCATTTTGCACCTTATATACGCTGTAGTATAAGTGGCTATTCAGTTTATGGTTGAAAGTGAATGTTAAAATTGTCCTCGACAGACCTTATTGGCTGCTTATGACTGTGAGACTGAATGAATTTCTAAGTCGCAAAAGGGCCGAAGACAGGTTTTCCAGTAGCTTTGTGAGGTGAGGAGTCTGAGGACTTTGAAGAGTGTTAAGTATGACCTTCATGGGGATACATGGTATGTTTAGTTTAGAGGACCAATACCATACCATATATTCTTAAAAGGACAAGATGGTTTGGACAAGCTAATACGGAGTATAGTGAATTCAATATCTATTATGGATTGGATTCCCTGAATCCCTGTCCCATAAAGAAATAAAAAAAAAAAAAAAGCCGGATTCAGAAATGTGAAGCAGCTCAGCACAAATGCAGCGTAAACAAAAGGTTTAAATGGAAATTTGAAACTTGGGAAAGAATGATATCATTAGTAGCATTTAGCTTGAAATGAAGTCACCGCAAGCATTTGTTAATTTCGATCCTTGTAGAGAAACTATATTCCAAATCGTCGATGTACATATCTGATAATCACTAACGGATCCAACTCCAATATTCAACAAAAACAAAATCCATGTGCGTGCAGGAGATTTTCTAAATATCAAGACCTGACAGGAATATCTCTGGTCATGAAGAAAAAAGAGGGTTATCCATCCTTCACATCATCTGCAGATGAAGATCTGCGGCCTGTTGAGCCAGCTCCACAACCATAGCGTCATCAAAGAACTTCTGGATGCTAACATCCTCACTCATACCCTGCAAAATAATCATTAATAAGCACAACAGGTTTGTCTAGTTTCCTTCTGAATTAGTTTCATAATGTTATGAAGATCACTGGTTAAGTATATCAACACAGATAAAAGAAAAGAATCATACCTTTCTACGCCTTGTTTTCACCATGAATTCTCTTGCAAGGTGCTGTATTGGGGCAGGTTCAAGAGGCCGTAGGACAATGCTCTTGTCTAGGGGATCGCCAGGGACAATAGCCCAATGATCAAACACAGAAGAGCAGAAGGCCTGACCTTGGGTATGATACCTTAAATCTGTCTCAAATCCAAATGACTCTATCACAGGCAAAAATGCCTATAAAGAAAAAGATGACCACAGCGTCAAAACTTATCAAAACTAGGTGAATCAACACACGTGTACGGAAAAGCAAGAAGGTACATTTTTCTGATATCAGTTGCTGAATCAAACACCAAAATGAACAATATACAATGGAAAGCATATGCTTATCACACTAAGCAAGATAAAATTAGATTGCATCAAGAAAAAAAACAAACCTTGACAATATACGCTGGGGTCCCTGGTTGCGGAACATCAGCAGTCACATGGCCACGCCTACGAGATAAAACCGTGTAGATTGCAGAAACACAATCTATTGGTGTTTGTATCTGAAAGAGGCATATAAATAAGATCATGGGGGAAATCAGTCAACTTTATAGTACTAAAAAGGAAAAAGTAGTCACCTCCACATAATACACTGGCTCCATAAGACGAGGGGTTGCCATGAGGAAAGCTGAATAAGCCACACGACGGGCTGTGGGGATTAATTGTCCAGTACCCCGATGTAGTGGCTCAGGAGCAATCCTAGCATCAACTATCTTGAATTTCACGTTTCTGATTGGTTCATCGCAGAGGGGACCTTCTCGAGCACCCCACTGAAAGCTATACAAAAGAATGCAAAAATTCAAAAGGAAAGTAGAAGATAGAAAAATGGGGTAGGGAGTAGGGGAGCAGGAGAGAATGTAAGAAAAATTGCTTACCCTTGAACAATAGAATCCTTCACAGCACTCAGCAAGTTCTTGTCAACTTCACTAGGAAGCGTGTCATCTAATAATATGTTAGGCCCCTACAAGTAAAATGGCTTTTAGACTAATCACGAAATAACAAAGTAAAGCAAAAGAATTCTGACATTGATTATAATTGAGGATGAGCTTACCTGCTTATCTGGTCCAAAAGCCCATATAGAACGGGCAGCCAGCAAATCCCATTCATACTTAGATTGGAAGAAATCTCCCAATTTTTTTCGTGGCCAATCAATGCTCACGATACCGCTCTCAATATCCTCTGCGAGACCTCTTTCCAAAGGTTCTGCAATCTGAATAGGCAGGCAACAACAGTAACCAACAATCATGCACAAAAAGATGACCAGATTTTTCAACAACAAAACAAGCAAAGTAACTGAAAAACATACCATAGTAATCTTGTTCTTCTTGTTGGGAGTTTCAGCAAAACACTTCATTGATGAAGACTCTACCACTGTTTCACAAAATGAGACAACTGGATCCGCTACCTAACACCAATTGAAAATAGATCAAGTTTAGTTGTCAAAAGAAAGATATTGATCAGTCAACACTGTACACAAGAAATCAATTTGGATTCTCCAAAAGCACAAACGAAATACAAAACTCTATCATCAGTAAACCAACCCCCACCCCAAAAAAAAGGAGCAACAAGATTAATTGACATTATAAAAAGCAAAAAGGCAGGTGAACAACAGACCTTGACTTCTACTTCAGAATAAAGCTCTCTCAGGTCCTTCATGATAGAATCAAGGTATAACTCCCCAGTGCCCAAAATTGTATGCTCCCCCGATTCCTCAACTTTAGTAATGGCTAGAGGGTAGCTCTTGCTGATTTTTCTAAGACCCTCGACCATTTTTGGTAGTTCACTAGGATTAAGAGGCTCTGTAGCAGTTTTCACCACTGAAAGTGTATTGAACTGAAGAGGGCGGAATATGTATACATCTTCATCATAATCAACGCTACAAAGTGTTGCAGTCTTCATGATAGAGGCATCTACACCTTCAATAAGAACCCATGAACCTGGTGGAGCCTTGCTTACAGGGATCCTATAACGAGCCTGGTAAACCCACAACTTTGTAACTTCTTTCACTGTCATATCTTCTTCATCCTCAGGTGAGTACCCTTCTCCTAGCACACGAACAGTCTGGCCTGTTTGGATCGTGCCACTGTACACTCTACCAAAGGCATCAAAAACACTGCAATCTGGTTTCGGATAGAGTTTGGTAATATTAACCATAAGTGGTCCTGATGGATCACAATTCTCCATGGAGTTGTAAACCATAGTCTCTTTTGGACCAGTATATATGTGATCGACCTTTCTTGAAGAAGCTTCTTTTCCACAAGGAACGTGCTGAACTAGCATATCAGTGAAGCCTGTTGCTGTACCAAAAACTGAGCTACAGGCAAGTCTTAACAATGGTCGAACATTCAACTTGTAGGCTGCATTTGGAAGTGTAACCCCAAGTTCTGCTAATGTTGCCTCCACACTCTTTCTATGCTCCCCGATGACTTGACTATATATTTTATACAGTGGCTCTAAGATAAATTGAACAAAAGATCTTTCCCCTCCAGTTGCAGGAGGTTTTCTCTTAAAACTTCTGCTGTCTGGATGGTAGTACATGTCTCCCCACAGACGAGCAGCAAACTTACTTGCATCAAATGGTACTCCATGTAGTTTCACATATAGCTTTGCAAATGATTGCAGAGTGAATGACCATCCTGCTGTTGCGCTGGCAAAACAAACGTTCCCCGCTGCTGGATCTATAAGCTGGACATCTCCAGCAGTGGAAGAGGCCGCCGTGATGTGGTTGTTGATGATTTCTAAAGTATGCCTCAGTTTATGGTAGGCATCTTTAGGAGGCAATTTAAGCTCTGTTATCAACCTGTCAACCTTCACGAAAACAAATACAATATATAATGTAAAAGATTATAACTACGAACAGGCTAAAGTAAACTGGGCAGAGAAATGATTACATACCTTATTAATAACAACTACTATTGGGATACACTCCTGAGTTGCATGACGAATAGCCCTCTCGGTATTGACCTTAGAATATCAAAGAATGAATAATTATAATTAATATCAATTAGTACAGGGAACACAAGCAGGAATACAGAATAGAGTCAAGCCCTTATATAACATGATATAGTCCACATTAGAAACCAAAAGGCTAAATGCATATACAGGGAGCTGTAAGGTTGCAACTAGTAGCCAGCTACTGTGAGAAAGTACATAGTAATAACTCAAACAATTACTTGATTAACTAACAACAGTTAAGAATTCAAAGTTGTGCCTGACACATTATGACATTTGCCCAAAGTACTAGAATTTTCTTTGGTTCCAATGAGCCAAGGTATTATTAAAATGTGGAAGTCTAGCTCTTTAAAGCGTAATTTAGCTCTTTAAATACCCTTCAATTTTCTTTCCATTTACCACAATCTTTCATAGAATTTACACACAAAATAAACCAAAGGGTGCACTAATATTCTCAGGGCGGGGTTGCCTAGCTTAGCAAATAAATCAACAATGGCTAATAGAATTTTCTTTTTTTATGATAGTATTAGCGATTTTCCCAGCTGCTGTTTCAGCGGGATCAACGTTGTCGTTGGTGCCTACACAAACTGCTGCTAAATTACAGCCGGTCGTGTCGAGGAACTTGATGATGACTCCAATCAGTGATGAGGGTATACCTATTATCCTTTTATTGTCATGAAGTTTATGTATTTTTTTTATTTAAATTGATATTTCTACTTTTGGATTCGATGCGCTAAACGTCTAATTGTGGAAACTAATTCAGAAAATAGAAAATAGTTTTCTTTTTAATAATTCCCCAAATTAAATTAGGGATACCCGAAAATAGAAATGGGGGAAAAATAAGGTGATTGATAAATATATATATATATATATATATATATAATTTTTTTAGTAAGTGATTGAGATATATATATTTTTTTACGAGTAATATTTTTTTGGAAAATTTAATAACAACAAATCAACCTTTGCCTCATTCTCCGAAAGTGGACCAACCTTTAAATCTTCCCAAAATAAACACAAGTTTGGATTTTTTTCTCCCAAAATGAATCCAACAAGTCACCTTACCTGTTGTACCAGGTAAAAATCCACGTGTCATTAAATCATTGGTCAAGGTGTCGAAAACCCATCCAACCCCCGAAACCCCAACAATAACCCCGGAAAACATCACAAACTCAACAATTATAAAAAAAAAAAAAAAAAAAGCCTTAAATTGACGAGCTTAATCGTTGAAAAAATTGTAGATCGTGATAGAAATTAGAATTTAGTTGCTCGATTTTATTCTTGTGATTAAATTTGAACAACTTGATTTTTTTTATTTATTTTTTTTTATTATTTTTTTATTTTTTTTATTTTGAGGTGCCGAATATGTGGGTGGGTAGGGTGCGTGGAGATGGTTATGGTTGCTTAATGGATTCGAGGTGGGGGATTTGGCGGCGATGGGCATGATTATGGTTGTCAGGGGTTTTCGAGGTGGAATGTTCGTGGCTGGGGTGGGGTTTTCGGGGCTGGGGGAGAGTTGTCAGGAGTTTTTCGGGTTGTGGTTGGGTTTTCGGGATGGTTAGGGGATTTTTCCGGCGTGTCTAGAGAGTTTCGTGGTGGGTGGGGGTGAGAGTGGCCATGACAGGGTTGCATGTGGTGGATGATGGTGGTGGTTGTATGGCAGTGAGGTGAGGGGAGAATGATCTGTTTTTTTTTTTTGTTTTTTTTAATTAAAAAAAATAATTAAAGGTTTTTAATTAAAAAAAATAATAATTAAAGGAAAATTAAAAAAAATGACCGGTTGTACAGGTCATTTGGGTTTATTTTGGGAGAAAAAATGCAAACTTGTGTTTATTTTGGGAAGATTTAAAGGTTTGTCCATTTTGGGAGAATGGGGCAAATGTTGGTTTGTTGTTGGTTAAATTTTCCTATTTTTTTTATTAGTGTTTAATTTGCCTTGAAGCCGCCCCGGTCTCATCTCCCCAAAACCTTGACGTAGAAAAGACTCGTACGGAAAGCTCTCCAGCAGCGGAGCGGCTGGTAATGCAGAAAGGAGCCCAAACTACAACCATAACACAGAGGCAGGTGGTGTATCCAACAAGAAAGGAGCGCAGCCACCAAGCGATAGCGTGGACGTCGACATGAATAGCTCTACTAATTTTCACATGAGTATTAAAACAAGAAATTATCTTTTCAGCGCGTTGGCAGTACTCGCGTCAGCGATCATAGTTTTGGGGCCTGTGTGGGCCATAAGAAAATATTCAGTGAAAAACTCAGCAGAACCAGCACCCGAGGGGGACATCGAGTTGGAGGGGTGTGGACCATTTGGTGTTAAAATAAAGTTTTGAACTTTATTTTTAGTCATCGGTTATATTTTTATTTACTACTTATAATGTTTTGGAATTGTTTTTATTTTTTATTTTTGTGTGTGTTTATTGTTTTGATATTGTTGTGAAGCAACCTTTTTTAAATATACAGAAAGGTTAGGCTTACAACTACAGGTTTGTATTTTGTAATTTCTTTTCTTTTTTTCAGAAGAAGCGTGTTGTAATCTGAAGAAAGATTGACTAATATTATTATAGTTGGTTGAGTTTAATTTTTTTGCTGTGTATTGAGTATTGTTCGACAGAAAACACTAACAAAAAAGATAAAGTTACTTGAACTCACTAATATAGTACATACTTATAATTATAACATAAGTTGTTTATTATTAATGAAAGTTGGCAAGAAAAGACACTCACCATGACACCTTCAGCTGCATCAACAACCAGAACAGCCCCATCAGCGAGCCTTAGAGCAGCACTCATCTCATCTGAGAAATTCACATGACCTGGGGCATCCATAATATTAATCAAAAATGATTTCGAGTTACTATCCTCAAGAACAAGCGACATTGGCACAGACTTGATAGAAATTCTCCTCTCTTGCTCATCAAACCTCGTATCTGTATACCTACGGAATTCATAAGTATCAATAAATGGCCAAATTTGGCTCACTTAGAGTAAACTAACAGCTTTCCATATCATAAACTACCTAGCCAGACATTTTTGTTAAGATCAAATCTAACTTTACCCTCAATCAACAACCAAACCATCCACAGAGTAGTAACTAATATAATCATCAGCATTTCATCCTTAATTGAAAATTAATGTAAAAATGAGGATCAACTCTCTACTAGGTTAAATGTAGTGTTACAAATTTCACAACAAACGGGTCAATGTTTTCGGAAATTCATACATATTTAAGCCTATTAGCTACTTTGACAACATTCTTCCTATGTTACCATCTTTCCATACCTAAAAATTTCCCAACCAAACAATTTGCAATCACCAGTAGCAATTTTCCAACTTCAATCAACACTAGACCAAATCAATTCTCCAAATAACTTATGAACAACCCAGAAATCACAAAATACAGCAAAAATTATGAAATACAATCAACAAAATAATCAGTAAAATTCAAAAAACTACCTCATATGCCTCTCATTCTTAGTATCAAAAGTAGAAATATGATGAGTCTGCTCAACAAGCATATCCATAAACAGCGTCTTCCCATGATGTAAATGCCCAACAAGCGCAACATTCCGCACCAAATTAGGGTTCGACATAAGACCAAGCATAAACTGAGTCGAAACATAAGTAGACGAATCCTTAACACCAAGTTCAAATTTCAGAGCTTTAACAGGCCTAATAATCGGCTGTTCAAGAGGAAGTTCATCTTCATCTTCAACTAGGGTTTCAACATCTTCGCCATAAACTTCCTCAGCAGTAGGGTAGTATTTCTTGTCTTCGGCAAGAACAACCTGATTGTCGGCCATTTCAGTGTCTTCGTCGTCTTCGACGCCGTGTGAAGTTGTCATCCAGCCGTTGGTGGGTCCGGCGGCGGAGGAAGGAGCTTCGTCGTCGGAAGGGCGTTTGTCGGCGTCATCGTCGGAGGGGATTTCGGCGTCGGAATCGTTGTCTTGGTCGGAGTCGATTTCGGGGCCAATGTAGTTGCCGAACTCGTCGTATAAGCTATCGTCCATGGCGGAAGAAGGAGGAGAGAGAAAGTGATGGAGTTTTTGTTGGGGTGTGGTGAAATTGGGAGAAGAGTGAAGTGAGGGGGTTATTTGGGGTTTTAGATGAAGGCGGTGCAAATGTTTGTTTTGGGCGGGCTTGAGATCTTTCTATTCTCGCAAATTCCTGTAGTAGACGAGAGATTATTATATATATTCGGGTGTACGGTGCACTAATGAGTATTTTGTTTTCATTTTGATGATTGTTTTTTATTTAATTATCAAATAAAGAACAAAAACTAACTTTGGTTTACTTGGCTGCACATTACACCCGGATGTGTATAAAATATTTCAGTACTAGACAATCTTTTAACCACATCTTACAAAATAATTTCGGTGATTTATTCCTTAATATAAATTACTCCGTAGTGAGGGGATGGTGTTAGGAGAAAATTCAAAGTTTATAAGTCTGGTAAATGTTTCTCGCATATCAGGGGTATTATTGTCATTTCATCCATTTACTTGTAGGTGATTAGGTGTTGTAATTTCAATGCTTTTAGCTAGGAGTATGGTGTTGTCTCTTCTCCACTATCCCATTGTTCAATTGTTGAAGTTGTTCCGGTGGTAGAAGCTTTCTGAAACTTAATCTTCCTCTATTCTCTCACGACAAACACCTATCCTATTGGGATTAATCATTCCCTTTATTTCTATATTATTTTAGGGTTTTCTTTAAATTCTGTGGTAAAGGCACCAGAATATATAATGTCGGTGGTGAAAATGGTGATGTTGGGGTTGTTCTTCCTCTCACCCCTTCTTGTCTTATGAGGTTATCATGGAGAATTCTGTAAGAGACTTTCACAATTAATCGACAGAAGATGGAGAGATGGGGGTGGTGACGGTGATGGGTTACAGAGAGGAAAAGGGAAGAAAAGGTGCATATTTTTAAAAAATACACAAAAAAACAATGCAGAAAATAACAAATTTGCCACCTAATCTCCTAAGTTTATTAATCAAATTTATTAAATCGGGCTCCATCATAATGTTAGTTCAATAAAAAAAAAGCATCAGAAGTTACCAAATTTAAGTTGATACTAATGAAGTGTTGATACCTTTATCGAGATTCAATTGAGCATTTCTTTAATATGTTAAATATCTCATTTAACACATTCGAATGGTCTTGATTAAAAATTCAAAATCTTCGATATACCTTAATTCTCAAATTTAACTTCGATTTTTTTTTTTGACACAAACTTTAAATCTTTAGTAAAAAGGTTATTTGATTCTTTGAAATCCTTAGTACGAGTAAAACTTTTATTAATTTTTTATATTTTACTCATATTATTAAAAAAGTTTAAATATTGTAATTCGATCCAACTGACGTGATCTAAATTTTAGACCGATTTTATCAATAGGTCCAAAGTCCAAATCTTGCACAACTAATCCAAATCGATGCAGTCCAAATTTTGGACCAATATTATCAGTCTAATATGAGTCCAAACCTCGCACAAGGCACAACCGATTTAATCTCCGGATTGTAAATTTTTGGACCTCAATCCGGTCGGTCATGGACGGTGAACAGCCTTATACGGTACACGCTATTTTTCAATTTTTCCTCATTTGGAAAAATTAAACAATTAAAGAAAACAGATAATTCCAGAAAAAAACTGGGAACTCGTTGTTGCCTAAGAGCTTAATGATTGAATTGTTGAGCACTTCTTGAAACCTGGATTGAGGTGATTCAGTTCGATTTACGCAACCCTAATCTCTCACATTGCATCTTCTAACCCCCAAGATACCTTAATTAAGCGATTGAGGTTGGTACATCCAAATCCAGTTTGTTGCATTATTCTTGCAATTCATTGTTTCAATTTTATTACAAATTCAAGTAATATTTTTTTTTCCCATCAAATTATGTATTATGATGTAATCTGCGTATTTAATCTCTATGATTGGGGTTTGATTTGATTTATCTGCAATTACTCTGTTCAATTGATGCTCGTCCAGTTCAGTGGAAATCTTGTTGGGTTGTTTTGCTGCTTTGTGGGTTGTAATTTAGTTTGATCGAAATTTTTGCCATAATTAGCCAATTTGCGGTGACATCTTTATTGGGTTCCCTTGTTAGATGTCTTAGCAAATTGAGGGAATTATTCTGTTTAGTTTTTCTTGGTAATTTGTCCATTTCTGTTTAGTTTTTCTTGGTAATTTGTCCATTATAGCCTATGTTACTCGAAATTGGGGTATTGGTGTTGACACGAGCATGTGTCCAAGTATCCGACTTGGCTATGATATGAAGATACCCATGTCGTGTGTGGAGAATTCAGCATGGGTACTTGAGCTGAATTGAAGAGTCCGAGTAACATAGTTTGTAGGCTTGTAGCTGCTTGTACTATGTCTCTTATGATTCATGTAGAAAGACCTTTTTTGGGTGTATTCTGTCTTCATTTTATTCTTGGTTGACCAAAAGAATGGATTTGTAACTGATAACTTACTGCAAATTTGTATGCAAAGTAAGCAGGAATTGGGAAAGAGCTGATGTGAGATTGATAGCACTAAAAGAAAATGACTTGTAATCCTCGAGGCTGTGCTTCCTTGTTCTTGTGGCTTGTTCTTTCTTTGCACATCTTGTATTTTACGACAGCGGTTGATGCCAAATCTGGTCATCGTATTACCGTAAGGCACTTCACATTTCTCGTTCAATTCAAATAGATAATGCCTCTTTAAATGACGCCCTTTGATTGCTGTTTTCTGTATTTTGAGGCAATAAGAGTGAGTGAGTGACTTTTAATTTAGCAGTTGGAACTCTTGGAAGGTGTATCTTTTTATTCTTGTTTGCATTGCTTGTTTCTCATTCGCCTTTTGTAAATAACAGGATGCTGAAATAAGAATGAAGAAAGATGAGTGTTATGCTGACATTGAGAGGTATTCTTGCTTGTATTCGTCTTCTTCTGGATTACCTAACCCATTAAGTACTTTGGATTAGCATCAATTTGCCACTTTTTGGGGGATACATACTTTATCGATTTTGATTTACTTATTGATGGAAAATGACCCCTTTTATGAAACTGTTTATAGTGGCCTTTGGGGTTTGGATTGCAAAACTTCGATCATTGCTAAGGAGAACTGTGCTTTGCGATGTCTTTCACCACGGTGTTATGAGCTTGTTTATGAGAGTGATCAGGTTAGGGTAATCCCATTCACTTTCTGGCAACCAATTACTCATTGGTCTGGACTTTCAAAGTTCAAGTAGTTATGGGTTATATTTATTTGCAGCTGGAAGAAGGAGAGAAGGACCTTATCAGAAGTCAAGAGTACAAGTACTGTATGTACAGGTAATTGACCTCACAACAATTTCTTGTACTCTTCTGATACTCAGCATTGCCTGTTCTGAAAACTATTATTGGTACAAGTTTCCTTTGCCTCTTGTGATTTTTTGATGATTGCCTGTCTGAGTTATGTATGATTATGAAGGGATTTGCATATCTGTTTATTGTTTCAGACTCTTAACAAGTACAAAGTTGTGAAACCAAATACAGGGTTTATATGCTTCCTGAATCCTACTGATCATGAGGCTCTGCTTGTGAACATCTGCTTCATTGATTGCACTTCTAATTTCTTCTTTAGCTATTCTACTCTTAATATATGATATAAACTGCATATCACCTAGACTGTAATATATGGTAGAATTTTACTGTAGTCCCCTTGAGTTTGAACTTCTAAGTTTGATGATTTTAGTGGAACACTTCCATGCTAATGGTATGGATTATACCTTGTGCTGGTCATAATTTGAATCAAATACTTTTACTATAGTCCTCTTGAGTTTGAAAATTGTAGTCTGATGCTTCTATTGGACGAGGCCCACTTGCTCAGCTGATAATTTTTTTGAAGTTCTATAATTTTCTTTACACACATTTTGTTTCAAAATGTACCTTTAGCTAAAAGTAAAATTCTATCCGAAGTTGAAAACTTGAATGGACAGTATTTGTTGTTGATGAATGCAGAGTTGGGAATTATCTTAGAAACTAGCCAAAGAACTATCTTCACTCTTACTTCAGAGTTCAGAGTACAAATTGCACTTTTCAAGTGTCTAAACTCTGGCTAATCCTTCTGTATGTACCTCAATGTAAAAAAATAGACAAATATATTGAGACTTATACTTGTTCCAAGGGTACTAATATGCAGTATACAGACGTGTAGCCTAGCATAGTCTATTGACCATACACATTGGCACACAAACAGGTGTGTGTTTGTAATTTCTACCATCATGCAGGAAGTAGTTGTAATAAGATGGTTATAGGCTTATAGGGCACTTGCAGAAATCCTGAGCTGGTTCATGGTATCAAAGGCTTCTGCCTTGCTGGATTTTCTTTGATATGTCTCATTAATTGTGTGTAGAATAAGTTACGTCATCTGATATATTGGCGGCTTACCCGGCATTATCATAGCTACTTATAGCAAGCTGGAAATGAAGTTCTATTCATTGATGACTTAAACTGCACATGATTGTTACCGAAATGCTGAATCAATGTAGTTGCTGTGATACATTCACTTTCCCAGTGTTTACTCATTCTAGGTCATAAGGTATAATTATTATCTGTTAGTGGGTCAATGAAGTGTGTAATGGCAATACTGTTGTAAGAAAAGCAATCAATTCAACTGCTACACGCATCACCATATTGTATATTTGGGTGGATAAGTGTTGCTAAGGTATTACTAGACTAGGGCAGATAATTCAAACAGTCGTATGTATAATTGTGCTGTTTGATTGAATTCACCTTTTTGCATCTCATTTCATGGGTTCTATGGTCAGGGTTCACATTAGGGCTCTGATATTACCTCCTTTTTGCATGCTTCCTTTTTTGGGTTATACAACACTGAGCATATCCTAATATGATTTTTTCTTACACACAGGATATCAACTGGAGAAAGCATTGATGGCATCAAGGGTTCTTTGGGCTAGTCTTCCTACAACTGTAAACTTGTATGGCATGTCAATGTTCTTGGACACAAGTATAACCCAGGAAAAGGAATTCTGCTTGTTTCTTCTACTGCCTTTGCTGAAGCAGTTTCATATCAGCTGACGTAGATGTGATGTGACTAATTCTTTATCAATTATCGATCTGAGCTGTATTTTTCTGGTGCTTTTGCATTTTCAACTCTCATGCATAACCTTGGGAGAGTCAGAAATGTAAATGGGATCTTATTCGATCAAATCTCTGTAAACACTTGAACATACCCCATGAATAAATATTGTGATTTGATTTTGACTTGCTGTAACCAGCTTCTTACAAGTAAGCTCATCATCTATTTATTTTTCGCTTTGGAATTTTTGTGAAAAGTCATATAGACAAGATGTTAGATAGCAAAATTTCCATTATATCCACTACCAACCGGGAATTGCAAGGGGTAAGACCAAGCAGAACAGAATAATAGCAAATAGAGCAACCACAGGATGGTTAGCTCACGGCAGCAGTCTATGTTATCAACTGAGTAGCATCTTCATCCCTGGGAGTTTGGGAGTATTGGGACCATATATAATTAAGCTTTTTCTGAAAGGCATGAGCTCAAATTTGTATGAGCTCACTTGCAACTACTCTTGGCACATGAAATGAAACTGATTCAACTTCTCATCTGCCTCTTTTATTATTATTATTATTATTATTATTATTATTATTATTATTATTATTATTATTATTATTATTATTATTATTATTATTATTATTATTATTATTATTATTATTATTATTATTATTATTATTATTATTATTATTATTATTATTATTATTATTATTATTTATATTATTATTATTATTATTATTATTATTATTATTATTATTATTATTATTATTATTATTATTATTATTATTATTATTATTATTATTATTATTATTATTATTATTATTATTATTATTATTATTATTATTATTATTATTATTATTATTATTATTATTATTATTATTATTATTATTTTATTATTATTATTATTATTATTATTATTATTATTATTATTATTATTATTATTATTATTATTATTATTTTTTTTTTTTTTTTTTTTTTTTTTATTATTTTTTTTTTTTTTTTTTTTTTTTTTTTTTTTTTTTTTTTTTTTTATTATTATTATTATTATTATTATTATTATTATTATTATTATTATTATTATTATTATTATTATTATTATTATTATTATTATTATTATTATTATTATTATTATTATTATTATTATTATTATTATTATTATTTTATTATTATTATTATTATTATTATTTTTTTTTTTTTTTTTTTTTTTTTTTATTATTATTATTATTATTATTATTATTATTATTATTTATTATTATTATTATTATTATTATTATTATTATTATTATTATTATTATTATTATTATTTTTAAATTTTGATTACAAATTCAACTTTTAATTTCTACTCTATTCCCGAAAGTGATATTTTGATAAATCAAAGGCACATGTGTTTATTTTTTAAGCTAGAATCCTTAGGGAATTGATTTAATTGATTTCTATTAACTCTCTCAATAATTTTGTACTATGTTTAATGTTCTCAAAACTATCAGGAGGAGGTGTGCGAAAATTGAATTTGGAGTGACAACTTCCAAAATTATTTTTCAGTGAGTAGAGCACTGAATCAGTGAATCCAAAAAACTCCCACACATTTTATTTTCATCACCCAAAACTTTCATATCAGAATTAGCGTTTAACGTTGAAAGTGATGGTAATTTAATCCAAAGTCTCAACATAATTAACGCTGAATAGTTTATGAACAATACATTACCATATCATTTTAAGTCCCAAACTATATTAGTCCTTGCCTGATAAAACTAGGCCATTAATTAGCCGACAACATTAGCAATTAACATAATCCCCCCCCCCCCCCTTTTTTTTTAAATACAAACTACATTATCGTCTTTACTAATTTCTGATGGTAATTATATATCAAACTGCATGCAATGTAGCTTAATTTTCCTTTCATATGCATGAATGTGATCATCATTCATAGTCATACACACATGCATATCGTACATCATGTAACAATGGAGATCAAGAGAGAGATATCGCGTGCGAATTATCCTAAGAAACTGTTAACTGGACCTTATGTATATATAACCCATTAATTAAGCAAAGTAGTACCTAATCAACACGATTACTAAATACTACAGTAATTACTTGATCATGTTAACAAAGCAGCAACATATTGAATTGGTTAGATATGAGTAAACTACAGTTAAATTGGTGTTCTTAATCACTAATTAATAAGCTAGAAACTAGTAGTGGGTGCAACAGCAACAGAAGCAGCAGCATACTGTCTTTCCACAACTTCTATCAGCGTGTTTGCAATTGCACTTGCATACACTGATGACCCTTCACATATCTGCCACCATAACAAGCAACAAATCAATCAATTATCATCAATCACATTTAATAATTATGAAAAATAAACAGTTAATTAAATCAAACTTGTTGGTGCAATTTGATAGGCCGGGTATATGCAACTATACTCCGTATATTCTGTAAAGATATATTTTGTGTAATTCTTAATATTCTCGAGAGTTGTAATCGTATTAATCTCTATGATAATTAATGATCACCTTAGAGTTGAAAAGATAACTGTAATAGTCCCCAACATGACCTCCAGCAACATGGCGTAAATCCAACTGAAGCTCATCAAGTGTCCTAGACACAAACAATAAGCAATTGATCTTCTTACGCTGCACAAGCTTAATGGTAACATCATCATCCACAATTCGAACATCGACTTCCGTGTCCTTACACTTCCTCTGGATCCACGAGCTTCGGAGCTGGATGGCGGCCGACCCACTAAACTCCTCGTCCGGGTCGGGTTTCACCGCGGCCGGTCCATCGACACCGTTACTGTTGTGGTCCCCACCACCAGTGCTAGTCGTACCACCAGCTGGGGTATCCTGATGCTCAGTTTTATGCCTCTTCAACCTCTCCTTTGACATCCTTTTTTTCTCAACCAAGAGTTTAAGCTCTCCCACTGTTCTTCTCAGCTCATTTATGTGGTTTATTGCATCCCAAACTATTGATGCTCTGTCCCCCTTCATGCATATCAACAAATTAAACAATTTAAAATAAATCGGGCCGGAATAATTATTATTGCAAATCAAGTTCCACCAATGCTTTGGGGAAAGAGTTCAAACAAACATATTCAGAATTACCCAACTCAAACTCATAAAATCATAATAACTCAAAATTGCACTACAAAGTTCATTATAAAAAGCATATATTATAATTATGATGATAATTATATGATACCCAACTCAAACTCATAAACATATAATAACTCATTATAAAAGGCATGTATTGTAATTATGATGATAATTAAATCATACCTTGGTTTGATTAGGAACAAGGCTCCTAAGATGCTGATACTTGTCATTAAAGTTTTGCCTTCTTTGTCTTTCAGTAACAAAATTCTTAGGGCATTTACCCCCTTTAACATCACCTTTACTAAACTCAAAAACTCCATTTCCATGAATATGATGATCTCCATCTTGGTAAATCCCATTAATAGTATTCCTTTCACCATCATCTAACCCACCAAACAAACTAGATGAACTCCCATTTCCCACAATCCCACTAGTCCCTCTTCCGGTATTATACCCGCCGCCGTGTGGCAGCGTCTGATGATACATCAAATCCCTCAAAAGAGGTGAAGGTTGAGGGGGCAAGTTAAGGTGGAACAAAGGGTCATAAGAAAAGGCAGCAGCAGCCGCCGCAGCGGCGGCTGCTGTTGATGGATCATAGGATATGGTAGATGATCCAGACCCAGATGGATTATCCACCATCATAGGTGGATTAAGATCCCCTAGGAAGCCTAAAGCCGAACCCGAAGGCGGTGGAGGGGACGACGGCTTCCCAAAGGATAATGAGGTGGTGTTGGTGGTAGAGGATGTAAAAGAACATCTAGGCAAGTGTAGAAGTGTAAGAAGCTCAGTTGTTGGTTGTAAATTTTCATCAAAATGAGTAAACCCATTACCAATTTCATGGGCCAAATTAGTGGGACCCCATGAATTTGGATCATGATCGTTTGGATTAGGATTACAGTTTGGTAACATTGGTAAATGGGTAGCAGTAGTACTGAATCCATTATTGTTATTCCCAAGATTAGGGTTTTGGAATTCCATTGAGGAATCAGATTCCTGGGTTTGGTGATTATGGTTGTTTGTTTCATGGGAAATAAACCCATTTCCATTAGCAGAAGGAATAGCAGTTGCAGCTGCTGATTCAGGGATGTTGTTTGGGTCAAAACAAGCAGTAGCAGCAGCAGTAGCAGCTTCTGTTGTCTGATCATACATTTTTCCTCTCTCCTCCTGCAAATTTCCTTTATTTGTGGGCCTATGTCTCTGCACAAGATCATACAAGATCAGTTGATTCTTTGTTTTTAGCAACAACAAAAATAAAATGATTTTATAATTGGAGATCGTGAAAAGACAAATGTTTTAACGATACTGGCTCGAGGCCGATAATAAAATCATTAAGTACTTGATTAGAAAAAGATTAAGGAAGTTGGGAGGGGAGGAAAGCATGAGGGTGTATGAAAATTGGAAAGTGTAATTACTATAAATGGAAATACATGAACAATTATTGTAATAAAATTTTATGGGGTGTTGATAATTAGCTTACCTTTTATGGATTGAATGTATGAAAGAAAACGGAGGATTGAAATTTTAGGAGAGAGAAAGAGAAGGGTTTTGTCTTGGTGTTAAGAAGAGGGATATGAAGGAGAAGGTAGGGGCAGGTTTATATATACTTGGTAAATTGGGGAATGTAAGGGTTTTTTCTTTCTTGTTATTCTTTTGATATTTTTGGGTGTTTGGTTGGTTGGACTTGTATTGGGTACAAATTTTCAGTTTGTCATAAAGAATAAAAGGTAAAATTATTACAAGCAAATGTTTTAACTTCTTCATAATTCAATGGTAAGGATTTTGGTTTTACGATAAGGATGGATCGGAGCGGCTATTTGTCGAAACAATTAGGTTATTTAACTCTACTTGATTATTGTCTAGAAAACCATAAAAGTACAATCAATTAGGCTTGACATTTAAGTTGAACCCATTGTATATACAGAGTACAATTTGTCATATGAATTTGATATAGATTTTGGTACTACATAATATGTAACTAGTCCTATTTGATGAAATTACATAATTCGGATATGTTGAATCATGTATATATACATATTATCTTGAGGAAAAGAGCGAGAATGAAGAGAGAGAAGGAGATAGCTAGCTAGGTTACTAATTAAGAATTAGTGTATGTATATGGGGAAAATCCTTGCACTAAAAGTTTTGAATCATGTATGTACGTATATATCGATCTCATTCATATCATTGGACACATGTATTTAATTAACATCAAGAGATCAAACGGGGAACTTATACTACGATCACGAAATCAAACAATTTGACACTCCTTGTGAATAAAACACAAAAATAAAAATAAAAATAAAAATACAAAAAACCGTACGTACTTTGATAATTAGATGATGAGAGTGCTAAAAATTTATGAAGTGATAATCATTAATTGTAACGGAAAATCCTTTTTCTCTCTCTCATCCTGAGTTAAATGGGACCAGCATATGATCTTCTGCATTCGGATACTCTCTCTGCCTCTGGCGTGGCTGAGTTACAATTTGTAGCTAGCAGAGCTGACAGTACCCAACTTCTTTTCTGTTTTGGCCTTTTTGAACCTGCTGTTTTTACCCCTTTTACCCCTGCTATACTACTTCTAGCTAACCAAAATTATGGCTGCAACCAAGCTTGTAAGAAAATTAGTGAAAAAGTCTTGTTTCTAAGCTTAATTGATTTTATGAAATGCAAAAAACTGAATCATTTAATTCAACGATAAGCTTAAGAAATTGCTAACTTTTAGCAATTTCCAAAATTTGGACAATTTATTTATGATTACTAGATTTAGTTAGTGTCTTGCACCAGTTTAATTAAAGATTTATTTTACGAAGAATTCCTTATTTTATCGTAAAGGATAGAAAAGTGACAATAAGAAATGTTTTTTCTTCTAGTTGATGACTTGAAATATGTTTTGATGAGGTTGAAGAATTGAGGTGGTCATCATATCCATAGTGTCTTAAAAGGTTTTATTTGGGTTTGTTTCTCATTAATATTTTTGTTACATTGAGGATCAAGGAAATGAGAATTAATTGCATGAGTCACGTGAGGTTTCTAGTTTTAATACTTCGTATTAGTCTTAGCAGGCAGATAAGTTTCACTCAAGAATCACTAATTCATTGCTCCATATTATTTCGAAAAAATAAAATAAAATTACCACTCCATATTATATTATGGGACATACCTAATCGTTACTCGTACATGAATATATATATGGATTGGAGGGAATAAATTATGTATGTCCATAATCTATATCATACATATTAACATATGCATGTAATAAGACAAAAGATATATCAAAAACATATACAAGCAAGTAAATAAATTGATGTGGTTGACAAATTTATAATTTAGTTTAAAAATCAGAAGGTAGTTGAAATTATTAGCTAATTTGAAAAATTAGCTAGAAGTTAGTTAAATGTTAAGAAAATGGTAGCTAAAGAAAATTTACAGTACAGGATTTTAAGAAAACAATAGTTAAGTTGGGATGTCCACAATTAGAAGATGGAAAACTAGATATTAATCAAAATGTTGTACTCACTAGATGAAATGAAAAGCTAGCTTAGCTAAATTAGATATTGCGAGGTGGCTGAAAGGTGAATGAAAAACTTAAATATTCAACGCCCTTTTATGTGAAAAGCTAGATGAAAATTTTGAATAATAAATTAAAATATGTTGACATACTTACAATTTTATTTTTCGAAGATTCATTGAATACATAAAAAAAAAAAAGTTGATCCGATTGAAATATTCTTTTTAGGAAGTTGATTGAAAGGGGTCGTTTAGTTCGTTATATTGGAATGGATTGGTATGAAATCAGAAATGGATTCTAAATCGCATACTAATTTGGTTCATAAGTTAAAATGGATTTTACATTTCATAATAGAATGAAATGTGAATCTTGAGGGAAGAGGTGGGTATGGAATTATAGGGGAATGGGATGGAGTTGGAACCCTCTTGATATGAGATTCCATACAAACAATAAATTGGATGGAATGGATTTAAACTTCATTTCAATTTATTCCAAAAGGTCTAACCAAACGACCCTTAGTGAAGTGCAATTTTCATGCCTTTTCATTTTCAATTATCACGGGGGTTTCCAATTTCTAAGATCGAAATTGGTCAAATTTTTTAGACACCAAAAAAAATAATGCAATGGAGTTGTTCCATATTGGACAAGAAAACACAAATTAGACAATAACAAAATTATAAGCTTGAGGAGCTGCCTTTTACATTGTTGATTGGTTTTGAGATGAAAGCTATTCAAAGGCTCAATTACTTCATTGATAGAGAGTTATCTAACTTTATACTTGTATCATTATTCTTTATTAATTATATATATATAGAACCGTTACTAATGATAATTTTCCATAGTTAGAGTTGCGGGTAACTTACCCTTTTCAATAAAGATTGGGAAAGTTTGAGAATAAATTTGTAGATAATCTTGTAACTACACCAACTAATTAACGCAATTTGAGAACCAATAATCTAAGTAGTTTTGCCTCGCTAACAGGATACCAAATATAATAAGCAAAGTAGCTGGTTGACATTTCCTCCACAAACAGTTTTATGATTCACGAGAAAAATTACCCTATTGATTATAACAAGCTCAATATGTATAAAATAGTACTTGCCTTATTAATTTATTACTTTAGTTTAACGAGTATCAAGATTAGTCATTCTTTTAATTTGTATTGATGACTTATGGCGTGCGTTTTATTTACCTAGCTTGTTTTAACTTATCTGAATATATCTTAACTTACTTCAATTTAAGGTGCCTTTGATTTCCTTGATTTTTACTTATTTGATCATATATGAACTTATTAGACGACCTTATTATAATTGTTTTAACTGTAAATTGAACTTTGATATCCCTTATTTGAACTTATTTATCATGATTAATTTCTAGAGCTTATTAATTTTCAAATGAATCCTAAAGTAAGGGAAAATAAGGTGAACTGAATATGACTTTAACGTGTCATTCAAGCAACTCATTCAATAAATAGGCTGGATAAAAATTTAATAAATCCAATCATATATGAATACATTATATTTAGGTTAAGAAACTTCAACCCGTTGATCATCAAGCTAAATACTACCTCCGTTAATTATTTTGTGCAACAAAGAAATATTTTATGTCTCACAAATAATAACCCTTTGGGGCACATAATAATTAACGGAGGTAGTACAAATATAACCTCACTTGATCTCTGTTAATCAAGTTTATTTATATACAGAAGAGTGCAAAATACCAATGAAATCTTAACCTAATCTGATGATAACAAATATTGAGAACATATGTACAATAGTTCACAAGTTTAAATCACTCTCTTTTATTCGTAATTTGTACTCGTAAAGTCGTAAAACTCTAATGGCTCATTTGAATCCAAAAAAACAGTGCAAAGATAGGAAAATTAACATAGAGAAAGAGGCTAATTCACGCAAAAAAAAGGGGATATATCTGCCAGAAAGTTAGTTTAGGTTGTCTGAGTAAAACAGAAAAGAAGTGGGACCAGTGATTAGCAAGAATTCCACGCAAACTGGGAGCCTGAACTAACTCCTCTTATTAGTATTAACCGTTTTGAAATTCTTCAAAGAATGAAATTTTTATTCTTTCCTTTGAGTAGGTAAGACCGAAAGTCTAGTACTTTAAAGAAATTAATCCTTTACCAAGCGAGTTAGTTTGGGACTTTATTATTATACAATTATGATCATCAACTTAACATGACTTTCTTTTTGTTGCCTGATTTTATGCTTTTTCTCTACATTTTTTTTATAATATAGTTTGGACTTTGGAGGGCTTTTGGCTGCTTAATATTCAAAGTAACAAGAGGTATTAGAAAAGTACAAAAACATACTTCTTTCAATCTTTAAAAAATCGTAATAGTTTTATGATTATGCTATCCAATGCATAGTTTAAATTATTAATATTGTAAATAAATTTCTATGATATTCAATCCTTCACTATATTAACTCTTCCTTGATTTCTATTTGATGACTTGTACTTTCCTCAAAAATACTGGAAATAATTATGAGAGAATTAATATTTTTTGTACATTTTAAGGATGAACAAATTTTTTAAAGACTTCTTCCTCGAAAAAAACTTTCCATTTCCTGGAAAAAAGAAAAAAAATAATAAAACTTATTATCATAAGCTAAGATTTTATAAAAGTATATCAAATAGACTTTTGCATGATATACCTCTTTTTTTTTTTTTTTTTTTCCAGAGGTTTCAAGTAGAGGTATTAAAACCACACCCGACCTAAAAAATATCCAATTCAGATTTCAATTCGCATGGACACAATAATTTGGTAATGACTCAATTTTAAAAATTGACCCGACTCGACCCGATCCGACCTCATCATACCTGATCCGAACATCCGAATTGACACCTCTAGTTTCAAGCCTCTCAACTATATCATGGGATTGTCATCACTATGACCTACGACCTTAAAGTCATAAATCACAAGGAAATTTTGTAAATCAGGAATAAAGAAAGTGACATGTTGCCAATTTCATAGTGAAAATATTCAATCAATTATAAATCACATGTAATCAAGAATGTTTTCTTACAATGTTACATACTTCTAAGGTAATCAAACAAGAAAATAATCAACAGCCTGTTCTATAAAACTTACATACCATATGCTTGTGGACAGGGGAAGATGCACTAATTTACAAGACATGTTTAACAACTAAGCTTGTAAATATCATTTATGTAATTGCTGTGTATTCTAATGTTTGATTCTTAACCCTTTTTGCTGCTTCACCCGATTTCCACAGTTTCCAGCTTGATTCACAATTCTATGCAAAGATGCGGAAAGTGATTGAAACCTTCACAGATAAAAATTCGAACCTTGTTGCAGAAATGTAGTTCACAGTATATGCATGGCTTGGTATATCACCAATTAATGAATTAAGTCGATTTCAAGATCCACAATGATGAAGAGTCCAAAATCCACAAAAATTGGCTCCTGTTGAACAAAATTACTAAGAAAATACAGCATATGAAACAGAAATTTGTGTCATGATCAAAATTTGGCTTATATAACTATACAGAAAGCAGAATTATAAATCCAAGATTATCAGAAATAACACAGTAGTGATACCAAAATCAAACTGCAGAAATCTCCCAATAGACTTCTCTTAACATTACTAACCAAATTCATCACCATAACTGATTTCAGAAAGAAGAGGGTCACATCAAAGAGAGAAAGCGAACCAATTATAATGTTAGGATCTTTTTTGTTTGGGGAGGGGAGATGGGGGGGTGGGGGTGGAGATCATATAATTGAGTGTCAATAGGCAAAAAGTAAGAAAACTAGCATAAAAAACAGTGAGTCACTCCTATTAATGGCCAAGAATCTAACCTGACTAATGTCCACTATAACACAAGAATTAGAGTCATTAAAAGCTGGTACAAAATTCACAATACAAGCGAAGTAAAAAAATATACATTACGTGAGGAATAGACCCTGGTAGAGAATTTACAGACTATTTAAAGTACGTGCAAACTAGAAGGTGATACAATGGTGTTAGAAGATCTTGATTACTATAGGTTAAATAAACAAGTCCAGAGTAATTGTTGGATCACTCGGATTATCATAAACCATCTCACCGTCACCTTATATTTCAGGCATGACAAATCTTACAAGTCCCATAAAACCATCTTACTCTTATCCATGATCTATCCCTCAATCTAATGATAATTAAGCTGCTGATCCATGCTGTGGCTATACTGCTATAGTGGTGTACTGTCTAGTGTCTACTGTCTCCCATGCCAAAGAATATTGGTGCATAATTAATTTACTTTAGGGCTTAATATCTCATTAACAATCCATCATCTCTCCCCAACATCTCTTAGAGAGAGAGAGAGAGAGAGAGAGAGAGAGACGATGTGAGAGAGAGAGAGAGACGATGTTAAATGAAAGTAATGGAGAGAGAGAGAGAGACCTGAAGTCATGTCACGGTATGCAAGAGAGGTACCTCAAGTCTCAACAACTTGGTGAACTGTAGAGAAAATCAATTAACTAATAAGTTAACAATTCAATTATGATTATTTTATATTATAATTTTGATAACCTGTTTTGATCAACTAAACTTCAAACTATTCCACTGATCCATAGTTCCATACCATTACAAGAGGGGCCTCTAATAACAAAGGTCCTTGTGAATGTGAAAAAGGAGCACTAGGCATTAATTGCTCACACAAAGGCATGTTGTATACTCGTATTACATGTGCAAATGAATGCCTAGTTGTCTACACAAGCTGAAAAGTTATGTGGATCTCCTAAGGGGAAGGAACAGTAGGATGAAGAAGAAAGAACAAGATAAATATAGGGAAAAACCTGCATAGTTTTCAGCTCTAATTCTTCCCACTCTAAGGAAGGATCACTTCCCTCAACAATTCCAGTTCCAGCATAAAAGAAAGCACCAAGACCCTGTCAAATAAACACCAAATTATAAATGTAAGCGGGAGAAAAATTTCACGGCCATCAGCAGAGCAATTCAACAAAAAGAAAAAATCAAGAACTAATGTGGCACAAATATCCCTCTCTTTCAGCCTCAGAATTCCATAGTTTTCAATCAGAAGGATTCAGAACTATCCACAAGACAAAGTTCCACAACTTACCTTCTTTACTAAAGCAGACCTGATCCCAACTGCAAATTCAGCTTCTTCGCCTCCAAACCAACCAATAGGGCCAGCATACATTCCTCGGTCGAACATTTCTGGAACAAAAAAAAAAAAAAAGAAAAGAAAACATCTGAGGAGCTACTAGAATCTATTGAATTGGATAGCAAAAAAAAAAAAAAAGAAGCAAGAACGATTCCTTATATATCAACATGACATATGCTGTAGTATCTGATGTAATTTAGAACTAGCATAAACTCTATATCTAAGCACATATGTTACCTCAAAATCAGTTTCTATGGTAAGTTAGGATATAAAACCATTTTATTATATCAGCTTAAACCTTGATTAATGTGGCTCTTATGACTTGTAATGAAGATACAAGCATATAATTTCAACTTAATTCAATGCACAAAACTAATCACAAAGTAGAAATCAAATGTTCAAGTTTATGGTTAGACAGAATACCAGTTTCTGCAATAAGGCAACGTGCATCTTCAGCTGGAAATCCACACACAGCTGGACTTGGGTGAAGAGAAGATAAAATCTCAAACTGAAATTCATTCAAAAAAGCAGAAAAAGGTTATATACATAATACACTCACAAACATCTCTTTCTCCAAAAAAGAAGATATTCACTTTTCCTAATGCTTGTACCTTTGCACAGACTGAAACTTTTTTCCAAAATGCAGTTATAGGAACTTGTAATCATTCTTCCAAAATGATACTACCAATGAAGTTAACTTTCTTCCAGCCTTACAAATATAACTGCACCTCACTAACTACAACCAGGGTAGTATTCTTCCAAAATGCTGAACACTTTAAAATTCTAATTTCAGAAACTACACACATTGCCTAGCTCCTTCTTCTAAATTGCTTTTGTTGAATACGTCATTATTTCAAAACAGGAAAGTTATACGCTCTAGATCAGCAAATATTGAGTTCCCTGTCTTCATTTGGTGAGATACTCGGCCATGTCCATAAAAGATGCTCAGTTAACTTTATTGATAGTATCATGCAGTACATTATAATAAAGATATAACTCTGTTCAAAACCATCACGTAATGGAACAGTGACAATAGGGGCATACTGATAAGATAAGAATCTTTCACATAAAAAGTAGAACACGCTGTAAGCACAAATTTTAAATTTCCGATGTGGCACTTAAACAATTTATATGTGCCTACACACTTATTCCAAAAAAAAAAAAAAAAAAAAAAAAAAAAAAAAAAAAAAAACAGACATCATAAGCATACCTCATCATCTTCACTTCTTAATCTTCCTTTTAAATTAGCATACAGATGTTGTACTCTGGGAAGCTTTCGAATTGCCTTCTGTGGATCCACTAACACTGAGTTACAAACAGACTGTGAAAAATATTCAAAGATATGACGTAAGTAATAGGAAACATTAGTAAAGCTTCAATAAATAGTTCCTACTCTAAGGCAGAAAAAGTATTATCAAGAAAAGCTTATCTGCTAGCTATAGATATTCACTCACCTCAAGTTTCTTCTTGATACACTGCCTTACAATTGTAAACTCTAAGTTGTCTTTTGGGCTGGAAAGCAATGCGACGAAAACAATATTTGTCAGCTAAACTACGACGAAAATCATATATCTAATAGCAGGGTTATTCTGATAGCAGGGTTAACCTGGAGAGAAGATCCAATGCTGTTTTATGATCCAAAATCTCTGATCCACATATGGCTCGGGTTCCAGCCAAAGCTTCACTCCAAATGTTAAGCTTCTTTCGGTGAAACAGCTGCTCTGGCTATAGCATAGATTTATCAATGGTTACTAACAACACAAAGGCATGAATCACAAGCATCATTTCACAATACCATAATGGTCAAGCTTCAACATCCAATATATTCAGTGTTTTCAGTCCAATCACAGACTTGTAACATTATTAGTGCGAAAAGAAGGTGCCGAAAATTCTTCTGGGTAGTTTAATTGAATAAACAAGTATAACAGGATGAAACAAGGTAACCTATTCTTAGTTCATCCGAAGAATGTTAGGAATTGAGAAACTTAATAGAGAAAGAGAGAAATATAAAAGCAATACTCATGAGATTGCAGAAGGTACTAAGAAAGTAAGAATAGGTTTGCGATTCCATTAAGGGCCCCAACAATCTGCTGTGACATCTTTCATTTTTGTCAAGAACGCTGAACGAAAGGCAGTATATCAGATTTTATATTTATATGCATATTGTCAGGCAACTTTTTTGGTGTGTAGAAAGACCATTCCAAATAGCATCTTACTAAGTAATAAAGACGTGTGTTTTCAAAAAAAAAAAAAAAAAAAAAAAAAAAATGTAAGAATGGCATGTTTCATGTAAGCTAAGAATTGACAAACTACCACCAAAGCCAAATTAGAGAAAGGGGTATTGGAAACTTACAGTGTTTCCAATGAAAGCTGGTGCATTGGGTGGCTGAAGCAAGAACTGGTAAGCATTATCCCCCTCTGCCTACAACAATAGTTAAAAGGGAACTAGACCATAAAACTAAAACTATAGAGTTTACAGGAAATCACAGCTTTAACTGAAAAATAGACTACCTGTAAACAAGCTAACCATGCTAGCGGGTCAATATCAGAAGTAGTAAAGATTCTGCTACTACGTGCAAGTACAGCCTAGTGTCACATGAAAGTTACAAAAAAGAAAGTCAAAAAGACAGAATATTAGAATACACAATAGTACAATACTATATGATAGGGTATTAGACTAATTAGAGTGTCCCGAATTCGATACCTTTGTGAGAGCTGAGCTGCTTCTGATCATCTTCAATGCTTTTGTAACAGCAATCACCCAATTTTCCTCATCAGGGATGTGCAATATATCGGCCCTAATGGTAGTTTTAGGAAATTTCTTCTCTGACTTGAAGATGACAAAATTGACCTATGACATTAAAATAAACTCAGTGAAGAGGGGCTCAAAGGTCAAAACAAAACACGCAAAGTTTACAAGCTAAGGTTACCTGGTCCAAGGTTGCTTGAAGGGAATCAATTGCTGATTCCCAAGGGCATGAAAGGCCATTATCCCATGCAACATTGGCAGCCAACAGGGACCTTCCTTCGAATTCATTGAACTCAACCTGTCATTCATGTCTAACAATGGGTTGTTCATATATTAAAATAATACCTGGTACCACCGCTTATCAACAAGCATCATGTACATAATACATATAACATTAGAAGAGGGGTCAAAGTTGGTCTACCTGAGGAACCATAAAGTAGAAGGAGCCAAAAGGCTCCCATTCTTTCGATATATCAACTTTTGCATCAAATCGAATCGCCCCATATGCACGAATCAAAGGACAATTTTTTGACAGGAACCTTCAACCATACATGTTTTACAGTACATGGTTAGAAATCTTACAAAAAGTTTTTAAAATCCCAATTTAACTTGATAGTAAAATTATACTTGTATAATATAACACCCTCTAACAAGTTAATCATCAATCAGCATCATAATTCATACTCACAGAATTTCTCCTAGAAAATTCTTTGATAAACAATAAATTATCAAATTCCACTTAACAATACTCTTTAAGTCTCAGCAAATAATATCATTCTTGAGCCAAATTGAAAAATGTTGCGATTATTGATTTGTAAAGTTGAATCTTGTTAACCTAAACCATTAATTTCTGTAATAATATCATAGTATAAATAGTATGCTGTATAAATTAAAAAATTAAAATCTTACTCAAATTTAAGCTTAAAATTAGCGAATTTTGACGACAAACAAAAAAAAATGTGGCTTTTAATTCTAGAATGAAAACAGCAGAAAATTACAGAAATTCAGTATTACGTAGTACAAGAATTTAATAATAATAAAAAAAAAAGGCAAAAAAAAAAAAAAAAAAAAAAGAAGAAGAAGAAAAATACCTTTTAATTGATCTCCAGTCATCAAAGGAGAAAGGGCGAAAATGCTGAAAATGAACGGCAGCACCTAAACCTGCGACGCTGATGAGATCATGGCCGTTGATTTTACCATTGTAGTTGCCGCCGATGAAATCAGAGCCGTTGAATTGACGTCTACCGGAGAAGAAAAGGCGAGGGAGTTGCTGGCGGTGGTCTTGTGAATGAAGCCAATCTATGGCTTCTATCTCTTGCTCTATTGGTACCTTTCAAAATTATTTTCAAATATTATTGCTTTTATATTGGTAATTTACTCATAATGATGTAAACGAAATTTAATAAGACAAGCTAAGGACGCGTTAAGACTTTGGAAGAACATTTTTGGCCAGAACCAGTAAAAGATTGGGTTTTTTTTTTGGGTCTAGCTTAATTCCTGAATTATCATGAGTACATTTGATACTTAACTTGAACAAGTATTTGATTTAAAGTTTATAATGTATTGTATGATTGAAAACACAATTAAGTAGGTTAATCGGTCAAAATCAATGACCTATTTCCTCATTAGATTTTTCTTATATACCGACTAGCTATAGACTCGTCTTATAAATCAAAAGATTCTACATAATGAGTGGATGCTAACTAGCTCAATTAGTTAAAGTTTTATGAGTGATAGTGTCAAATTAATCTCATTCACATCATCGCTATCGCTCTCTATACCCACAATTAAAAAAATATATAAAATAAATTGTTCTCATAGATGTTAATGGTTAACTCGCCACAAAATTGGTTTTATATTCTATAACGCCCGCTGGCATGAAAGCCCTTTATTTAGAGTATGAATACAACATTAGCCCCTAATACCGCTCTTCATACCATGATATATTTTATCGATATATATAATGCAAGTAGTGTCATAACTCAGTTACGAAATTGAGATGGGGATTTGATGGGTCACCGGTGCGGACACCCCGGTGGATTGGTGGGATGGAAATGTTGATGAATTTTAGACCTTTCGTGGGGATGTGGATGAGAATGATGACAATTGTAATGATGCTGGACAAATTAGGCAAGGATAGGAAAGGAAAAACTAACATCCACTCGCCCTGCCTCATTAACATCCTTAGTCCAACGTCTTAATTTCTCATAGAGTTGTTACGTGCTAACTAATGTCAAATTGATAATTAGTTCTACTACCTTAATTTCTCATAGAGTTGTTACGTAGCAACTAATGTCAAATCAAATAAATAATCTCGCATTTAATTTTCCAATTATTGCAACTCGATTAGTTAGACTACCCATCAGTCTAAAACCTCACATAGGTCAATCCTACCTAGGTTAATGGACTGAAAGCTTAAGAGAGGGGAGACTATATAAAAGAATCTCATGCTTCAAAGGGCTTCTAGTGTAGATCTAGGATACATGGACACTTCATCCAAGTTCCGTGTTCGTGTCGAACACCGTGTCAGACACCGACACTCGTGGGACACATGGCGATACGTCTCGGACTGTATTTTACGATGATATGGGCTGTTTAACTTTTTTCTAATGAGAAATTTTAAGTAAAGTAAGATAAATAAGGTAATTGTTAAATAATATGGGTGCCTTCATATATAGTTCATTGTTAATATGATACAATATGATCTAATGAGAGGACGAAATGACACATATGTGGTCAAATTCTTTTTAAAAAAAAATATATTTTATGAATTTTAACATTCTGTACCCGTGTCCCTTATTTTGAGATAGACGTTTTTTCGTATTCGTTTCGTACTCATATTCGTGTCAATACCCGTTCTTGTGCAACCTAGGTTTAGATTGAACCCCCAACCTCAAAGTTAGAAAGTTATTTTACCACTAAGCCAATATTTTAGACTAGTTACTGGAGTACATTATTAATAAACAATAAAATTTTGGTGGAATCAAAGATTATTAGACAATAAAATTAAGGCAGAATCAAAGAACTCCCACTTAATTCTCATGGAAGCTATGTATATAATTTTAAATTATAATAATTAGGAAAAAGATATATGGCTGCACATAAGAAGCTAAAAGTGAAAAGAATTGACAATAAATAAATATTTATTACACCGATTTACTCATGAATTGTTGATAAATTTTTAACTTAATACTAAAAAACAAAATATATTAAATGCTTATATGCAATAAGGGCTTCATATATCATTACCCTAATAATTATTAATAATTGAAAATAAAAAATTATAGACAACACATCGTCAAAATAGGAATAATAACAAATGAAGACCGAATGAGGTCTTTTCACTGAAAATTTCTGACTATTAGTCTGTTTAAAGTAGCTCATCTAATCTTATTTTAACTTATTTTGAAGTATTAGACAAAATAATTAAGTTAAAAAAAATAATTTCGGATAATTTCATTAATCAAAATCGCACACAAGTAAAACAATTTTAGGAAGAATAATTTCCTCCTAAAATAATATAAATTCAAATATTTTCGGACTAAAACAAAGCTTAAATTCTACTATGTACATTATTATTACTTTAACCAATCTCTCATTCCTCAATCATCAATGACTTATGCAAAAGTATGATAGAAAGCAAGTACAAATTTCTTCAAAGTTCTCTTCTTTGTACACCACAAAGAGTGATATTTAGGATAAGGAAAAGGATAATACGACTCCTATCCTAATTCACATATCACAACGTTCACTTCATACCTTTCCTCAATGTTCGATAATTGTGTGCCCACATACCTTTAAACATCATGATTATTGTTTATAAAATAACTCCAGCAACTACTAATTAAGTAATTATGGTCAAATATTGTAAAGTTTAACCCAAATATTTACAATGGACGAAAATAAAGGAACAGAGGGAGTATGTACGTACGTACACTATCAAACCAAAAATTAGTGTTCCATATATATGCAACATTTTTGCATTAAGCTAAAACATTCTAAGTAATTAAGAACCTTAATAACTCGAAAGAGCTAAGGAAAAAAGTTTACCTGGATGCGGATGAGACCGGAGGGGAAATTCGAGTATGGTTGGTTAGACCTTAAGTCGGAAATGGTATATTTAAGACGGTCCAAGGCTTGAGCCGGTGATGGAACCGAAGGTAGAGTTCGAGTTTCGACGACCCCTAGTGGAATTTTGGGGTCACCTTGGCACCCATTCATAGACATACTAATTGATAATGAACATGATTGATAGTGGTGTCTTTGTGGTTCTAAGTCAAGAAACCGAGTAATGCACTTCCCTACAGCAAAAGAAGATGTTGCTGCAACCATAATTTGATTTTTGAGTTGAATTGAAAAGAAAATTTTGACAGTTGGCTCGCTAAAAATTGTTATAATTGATGGGTTGGTTCAAATTAAATTATTTGGGGGCCAATTGAAATAATGTTGCTGTGCTTCTAAACGTTTTTAGTGGACAAATTGGGAGATTGTCGTTTGTAGAATAGTGGAAGTTATGGGCAATTTGACGTATATAGTTCATGTTTATGGAATTGATTGGTTGTTATTGTGACACATATAAAGAGTTGTTATTTTATGAGTTTTTTACCCCTCCAATGGAAATATCACTAGCTAAACATATGTAAACGAGATTGGTATGACTACTTTTGTACCCAGTAATATATTTTTGCAATTAATAGAGAGTCACAAGAAATAAATTTTTAAATGAGATTTGATCTTAGGTATTGGATACCAAGCATCCCAAAACCTAACCAACTAAGTTAGCCGATTTCTACTACTATACTAGTAAGCAGTTTTTGGTTAAGAAAGTGAAAAGAAAAAAATAATGCTTTTTATTGCAGCCGGAGATTTGAACATGGAACCTTACGGTGTGTTTGGATTGAAGGAAAAGGATGGAAAGGAAGGGAAGGGAAATGGAGAGATGTGATATCTTTCATTTGGATAACAAATGAAGAAGGAAGGGAATTGGAAGGGAGAAAAATGGAGGAATTAAATTGTAGGAAAATGATCCCTACAACAATGGAGATATTTAGAAAGAAAACTCACCATTCTTCCCTCCCCTCCTCTTCCTAATATTATTTTTACAAAAAGAAATTTACTTGAACATTTATGCACACCTAATATAGAAGCAAACAAATAAAAATTTCTTAAAACATTGCTTGAATTCATCCACAATGAATGAAAATCAAACAAAATTCATTCTCAAAAACGATGAAGAAAAAATTCAAGAGGTGCAAAATAACCTTCCAAAATCTCCTTTCATGGGTAGTGAACTTGTTCAACTAGCAAAATATCAAAACTTTTGGTATGGTGATATGTATATCCAAAACATACTCAAGTTACAAAGAAACTTTGTTGCTCAAGACACCGATCTTATAATTGGTAGTCTCATGAAAACCGGCACCACTTGGTTAAAAGCTTTACTTTTTGCTATTGTCAAACGTATTCACCACGCCGTTACTCAAAGCCCTTTGCTTAGCCATCACCCACATGAACATGTACATAGCCTCGAGCCACTCTATGGTGAGCATCCTTCACATAACCCTAATGATATCCCTTTGCCAAGGCTTTTTAGCACTCATTTGTCCTACACATCCCTTCCTGAATCCATCAAGAATTCAAAATGTCGGATTTTGTACATTTGTCGAAATCCCTTGGACATGCTTGTGTCACTATATTTTTTCTCTATTAACTTCATGAAGAAGCAAGTAGAAGATTTCAAACCTCCTTCTATGGAGGAATTCTTTGAAGATTTTCATGATGGGAGACATCCATGTGGCCCTTTCTTCGAACATGTTGTTGAATTTTGGAAGACGAGCTTAGAGCGACCAGAAAAAGTGTTATTCCTTAAGTACGAGGATTTGAAAGACGATCCAACTTTTCATTTGAAAAGGTTGGCTAAATTCATAGGTGTACCGTTTTCACCACAAGAGGAGAGTGAAGGTGTTATAACACAAATAATTGAGCTTTGTAGCATCAAGACTATGAAGGAATTGGAGGTTAATAAGAGCGACGACAAGGCAATAGACAAGTTCTTCGATAAGAAGACCTACTTTAGGAAGGGAGAGGTCGGAGATTGGATTAATCATTTCACTCCTACTATGGTTGAAAGGATGAAAAACTTGATGGAAGAAAAACTCAAGGGCACTGGGTTATCTTTTACGTTACTTCCTCAATAACGTTGATTACTTGCAAATCATCCATGCCATATATCGGGTTATATAAAATTTTGGTTCCCTCTAGGGTTTCTCCTTGGGACGGTTTTCTGGTTCCCTCTAGGGTTTCTCTCTTGGGAGAGTTTTTCTAGCCTCCATTGCTAATTTTTTTTGCTTTTTTGAAGGTTTTCTTTCATTCTTCTCCTTTTCTTTCTTTCTCCTTCATCTCTTTTCTTCTGATCTCTTTTGTGAATTTTTGCAATGGCTTTTATCGGTTTTTTTTACCAGTGGTAAGGCCCAAAAAAACTTTTTAATTATTTTCAATAAATGGATCCCATCTTTGAGGCTGTGGTTATTCTATTAGGGTTAATTCCTTTTTATGTTTGTCTGTCGAAGATTGAAGATTTATGGTTTCCTAATCTTCGGAAGTATCTAGAAGACCATATAAGTATTTTCACTCAATAACTATTCGTCGGCTGAGTTAGTTAACTCACAGATTGTATTGCTTTAGATGAAGTTTTTTATTAAGGCGATCGTCGATCGAATCTGCGATGTAACTAGTTCTAAGGTGATTTGTACTTGCGTTGGAATTCTAATTTTTCTCGGAATTGTTTGTAAGTGTCGTTTGACTATCTTTCACTAATGAAATTCTTTTTCTTCTTGTCAACAATATATATATATATATATATATATGCTTTGTCCTGTCATGAGGTTTCCCTACATTTTGTTCACAAATATGCATGGTACGTAGTATTAAGATTGGTTCTTAATGATGAATCTGTCTAGTTTCTATCTATGTATGTAATTTCATAAATAAATTTACCTCGTGATTAATAATCTATTTGAATCCTTATTTTGGGTCTTCCAATTGTAAGCTATTTTTAATCTGATGTTTATGAACATTTAAACACGTAATGACACTTGTTAGATCACTTAATATCGTACAATATCCATTTTTTATTTCCTTACTGCTCATGTAGTAAAATTAAAGTTAGAAAACTTTGACTACCTTTGATAATTATAAAGAAAAAAAATTTACTCCATATATACCATATATGAATGTGTGATAGATCATGTTGGAGTGGTTAGAGGGTGGTTTGGTATCAATGCACCATCACCCTTAGCTCTGTTGTAAGGTCTAAGTTGTGACTCTTGTGAGGAAGTAAGTTTATCAACATCATCTAAAAATGGCAAATGTAACGCTCTTTCAAAAACCACGTAAAGTCACCAAACATGACCTTCTTTCGGGAACATAGTACATTTTATTGCATTTTTAATAAAAATTGAAACAATATAAGCCTTTGCCCCCAACAATAAATTTATATATTATAGAATCAAAGACATATCTAGGATTATTTCATTGGGCAGGCTGCACCCGATAAGTTTTTTAAAAACAAAAACCAAAAAAGGTGCATTGTAAGGCATTGAATACAGTTTTCATTACATAATTGATGGCATGATCATACAATAATCTAAATTTGATTTTCCACCAATTTCATTCATGCATGTAGTTTCATTTCAGGAACTAATTTTAACATGCATTTTTAATAATTTGTACCATAACTCCCTTAAATGAAGATCGAGATTGACGAGATAGTGATTCATTCCAGAATGTCAGAGATAAATTATCAACAACAACAACAACAACAAAAAAAAAAAAAAAAAAAAAAAAAAAAAAAAAAAAAAAAAAAACTGACTCAAGCCTACAATCAATTCAAGATCATGCCTACAATAAAATACTAGAGCATGTTATCACAGCTAGATACAACCGATAAGTGCTTAGTCTATGATATTATCTTAATACATTTTGTGTATCAGTATTAATTGATATTCATAGATATATCAGTGCATGCATCGCGTGTGGATATGGTAGTTTTATTTAAGTTATCGTTTGTATATAAGCCCTTGTAATGTATTATCTTTGTAAATAATGCAATTCTAATTCTTCAAAATATAATTATTAGTGTACGCTGGTATAAAATAGATGAGTACCATATAATATTTCTCACTTAGGCCATTGAATAGAACTGAATTATTTACTACTGATCCGTACTACAACTATTATTAGATGTTGTTTGGTTTACATAAAAAAAAAAAAAAAAGGGAATTGGGAGTTCCTAGGAATTGCAAATGAGTAAGTTGTTTGGTTGAATAAAATTTGGTGAAAAGGGAAAAGTAGAACTTCCTAGGAATTTTCAACAAAATGTAGGAATTTTCAACAAAATGTAGGAATTTACTTACCTAATTTCCCCTAAGTAAGTTAAAATTCCTATGGGAATTTACTTGTTAAAATTCCTATGAGAATTTACTTTAATCACTACTAACCAAACAACTTTAAGAAATTCCAATGAGTTTTTTTAATGGAATTTAATTCCCATATATTAGAACTTAGATGTTCATGAAATTTTCAGTTCCTATGTTAACCAAACGACCCCTTTTTTTAGTTATTACTATTACCTTTTTTTTTTTGTTTTTTTGCCTAGTATTATTAACTATTGATATTGCTATTCCTATTCTTAAACTTTGGTCTTTTCACTTTATTCAAATAACATTTAGTAAAATTAATTTCATTTCAATAAAAGTAATACAATTCACTGCAGGAAAAACCAATAGCTTCAAAAAAACAAATATAAATAGAGAATTAATTAAAATAAGTTTTATTCAGTAATAATAATTTAAACTCAACAAAAAAAAAAAAAATTAATTTCAGTCAAAATATAATTTCAGTTTCACGAAAAATTCGCCAAAAATGCGAAAAAAAAAAGTCCTTGCCTTGTTTACAATATTCTTCTTGTCTTGGTCATTTTTTCGAAAAAAACCAAGCTCAGGGATTTGCACGAAGTATGATTTGTTGGCAATTAATATTGTTGTTTATTTATTTATTTTTTTTTTTTTTTTTGGAAGTTATAAAGTTGCTTGACAAGGGCCATGCATGCATATATATGAATGATCATCCTTTGATATTATAAGACAAGTTGACATGATTTATGAGGCTTACTTCATTGTAAAATCTTTGTTCTAGGTTTATGAGTTTAGTCATCAAAATCAATTCCGATTTGATTTCCATCTCTTGTGTGATGAAAGTGATGTTCGTTACAGGTTATGGGTTGATCGAATACAAAAAACACACATCATTCATTGTTATTAGTAGTTGTAATTTGTACTAGATAATTCTACCTTTTGTTATTATATACTTTGTAGAAACTATATTTAGCACTAGAGTACGTGCGTATAAGACTGTTTATATAGAACAAAGAGCTTAGAGCATATGTAAAAAACTAAAAATAATTCTAATGAAATACTGGTATGAAAAAAAAAAGAAAAAGAAAAAAAAAAAAAAAACCCACACACAACAACAACATTTGCGCATTTGACATGAACATGCAATGCAAAAATCTTACTTTAATTTCCACTATTTTCAGGCATGTTGTTTGAGGAACTAATTCTAACATTTTTAGTACTTTATACAATGATTCCCTTATACGAAGATCGAGGTAACGATCCATCCGAGTATATCAGAGATCATGCCAAGATCCATTCGTTGACAAACTCAAGCATACAATCAAGTCAAGATCATGCCTACAATGAACTATAATAAGTATATCACAGCTAGCTACTGTTGATAAGTGATTGATCAAAGATTATATCATCATTTTGTATGTAACTATAATATGTTTAATAACTGTTTTTCTAACAAGTGTCCATGATCAAAGATTTATCATAATTTTATTAAGCTAGCTCATATTTTATCTTATTAATATAGCAATTAAGCATGGAATCTTTCAACAAGCTTACAATTAAAATAATTCTTTAAAATCTACAGCTAATTTCCTCTTTAAATTCACTATTCCCCTAATTATGTTGAACTCGATTTTTCTTAATATTTCTCACATAAAAACCCTTCAATTCTGAGCTTTGTTTATACAATTCCTATACACAAACCCCTGCAATATTGGGTTCCATTCAGCTCAAGCTAAGAACATGAATTCATCCACAATGAATCCAAATCAAACACAAGATCAGGAAACACTACAAGTGCTTGAAGAAGAAGTTCAAGCCGAGCTCGAAAAAAGATGCCTTCCAAAATGCTCCTTCATGGGCAGTGAGCTTATTGAACTAGTAAATATGAGAATTTTTGGTATGGAGGTGACTATATCCAAAGTATACTCTGGTTACAAAGACACTTTCTTGCTCGAGACACCGATCTTATCATAGCTGGTCTCATGAAAGTCGGTACCACTTGGTTGAAATCTTTACTCTTTGCTACTGTCAACCGTAACCAGCACCCTATTGATCAAAACCCGTTGCTTAACACTAATCCACATGAACTTGTTCATAGCCTTGAGGCTCTCTATAGTGGAGCCTTCGATTACCCTTGCTATCACCATCTTAATGAGCTTACTTTGCGTAGGCTATTTAACATTCATTTATCCTACACATCCCTTCCTGAATCCATCAAGACTTCTAAGTGTCGGATTTTGTACATTTGTCGAAATCCCTTTGACACACTTGTGTCATTATATTACTTCTGCATCAAGTCTATGAAGAAACAATTTGGAGAAAATTTCAAATCCCCTTCTAAGGAGGATTTCTTTGAGGAAGTTTATGAAGGGAAACACCCATGTGGGCCTTTCTTCGACCATGTGATTGGATTTTGGAAGGCAAGCTTAGAGCATCCGGACAAGGTTTTGTTCCTTAAGTACGAGGATATAAAGGATGATCCAGTATCAGAGTTGAAAAAGTTGGCTAACTTCATAGGTAAGCCATTTTCGCAGAGAGAAGAGAGTGATGGTGTTATTCACGAAATAATAGACCTTTGTAGCATCAAGAATATGAAGGAATTGGAGGTTAATAAAGGCACAGAGATGGTCATGAAGTCACTTGAGAATAAGATTTTCTTTCGGAAAGAAGAGGTAGGGGATTGGATCAATCACTTCACACCTAACATGGTTGAGAGGATGAATAAACTCCATGCAAGATAAACTTGAAGGTACTGGGTTGTGTTTTAAGTTACTCCCTCAACCCCACTCTTGCAAAGCCAACCTTCAATGAGCTACCCATTTTTGTTATTGTCATTGTCGCCGTCGTCGTTGCCGTAATTTTTTCTTTTGTCTAACTTTTTTCCTTACCAAACTCAGGACCAAGATTTGGGTTCTTCACGAGTCTGGTTTCTATAATAAAATCAAGAATCTACTTGAATAAATTGGCAGTTTTAGTGCTTCTTTTAAAGTATGTTCTCAAAGAATGATGGTCCACATAAAATCCTAACAATTTGGAAATATATGGAGCATTTAATGAAAGCATGAAAACCTCCTAGAAATTACGCTCTTATGGCAAAATTGGGACTTGGGAGCTTGTAATTAAGCTCCTTCACTCGCTTAAAAATACCAGTATGTAATGTTAGCTAATATTTTGGAAACAAGAGAAAATTCATGCAACATACACTACAAGCCTCCCTAAAATATGTCACACACTAAACTCAATACTTGTATAAATGCAAATTTTTAGAAAGATCAGCATCGATAAAGTCTGCACAAATGAAGGGAATAAGAGTTCAGTGGACATCACCATTCACCATCAGGGCAAAGCAGTGATATCATTCAGGGATCAAAAACCTCACAGCCCTGGATCA